AAAAAAAAAAAAAAAAAGCATGTCCGATCGGGATCGGCGGTAGCTGACAATGGAAACTTTAGAACTACATCACACATGAATTGTTTTTCGTAATTTTTAATAAATTTTATTTTAACTTTTAGTTTTAAAATGACTAGAAACATTTCACAACAAAAACTTCGTTCTTATCTTGCTTTTATTCTTCTCAGATGTAGAAAATATGGTAACGGTAGCCAACTACAGCTTTCCGCACTCAATATTGGCCCAACGATCCATCGTTCAAACACACAACAATATCTGACGTCACCGTTTGAAATTATCAAAAATTAGGCATCTTCCCCAGCTTACCCCGAATCACTATACTATAATTAAAAACATTATTGTAACAAAAAGTTATTTCAGAAATTATTAATGGTTCAATATATTCTTTGATTTTATTTTTTTACTATTATAAGTTCTAAAATTACATAGTAAAATTGTTTAATTTTTACTTTATTAAACAATTAAAACAATTTAAAATTAAACAATTTTAATTACTAACTTTTAACTTTAGTAGTAAAGTTAAAAGTCAAAAGTTAGTAATTAAGGAATTTTTGTAATTTTAAAAATTTCTTTATTTGCAAATTTTAAGTTCAGTAAAATAGTCTAAAAATTAAAATAGCTTTGGAAAGAAATCAAGATAATTCTGATCTAAATTAACGAACGAAGACAAATATTTTCAGATTATCAAAAGCAGATTCTGGATGGGGGAAGGTACAAAAGGTAGAATAAGCTTCACACTTAAACAAAAGGAAAAGATCAGTATTAGTTATACTATCTCAAGAAAATTAAGTTAACATCATCTAGTTATTCGTATCGCAAAATTATTTAAAACTGTACAATACAAGGTTACTGATTATTTTAAGTTAAAATATTCAAAACGAAAGAAAAAAAGAAAGAAAACTAATGAAGGCAGCATAATAAACAATAACAAAGGTTTAATAAAATCTGAAATTCAACAAACGAACTGTAACCGCTGTTGATTAAAAATATAAGATTAAAGAATTAAAGGATTATTACAAGTGTATGCTAGAAAATTTATAACGTTAAAGGTTATATTTATGAAACTTTACTTTTCCGGCTGTTATATATAACAGAGAAGAAAAGTATGGCGATCGATCAAAAAATAGCTTCCCCCAAGATTTTTACATTTTTGGGCTCAGGGAACCTGGAAACGTCGAGAAATGCATAAAAATTTGGGATGTATGGATGTTAATGTGTGTATGGGGAGACACGATTTGTTCACCCTGTTTGAAGCTTAGTAACTCGTCTTTTGTCGAAAGTTTCTGAAATTTGGCATGGGGGTTTGATATGGGATTGATACTATTAAATTTTGGTGATTAAAGATCGAGAGTGTGGGGAGATAAAGGAGATCGTGTGTATCTCCAGTAGGATCGGACTTAATGATGATTTTACTCGTTATCATTTACAATTTTTTTTTTATATATAAAACTCATCCCTACCCTCAAAATTAAACTTTTTGCCATTTTATAATAATTAAAAATAAAAATAAAGTATTTTAAAATAAAATATCATAATCACACATGCAGTTTTAAATGTTACCGGAAAAGTTAAGCAATTGATTGCTGGATTTTTTCCTGAGAGAAACTCTCAAATTAAATTTTTTTTTTTTTCTAACTTTGAGTTAACATTGTAATAACTTAAGTTTTATTGTTAAGACTTATAATAGATTTGAAGGTTGATATTCAATAATCGAATGTAAGATTTTTATTTCAACCGTTATAAGATTCTTAATATTTAAGAATTGTAAAAATTTATAGATTCTAAAATTCGTAATAAAATATACAATAATTTAAAATTTTAATAATGAAATATTAATAGGGGAAGGTAGGGCAAGATGAGAACGTTAAGGTTTGAAAAGTCATAAGATGGCAACCACTTTGATGAGAACAATAAATTTTTATTCTCAGCAACTACAACATGTGGTAATAATATAATACAAAATTTAATTTTTGAAAAACGTTTTTAAAAACAAGAAAATTTAATATTTTAAAATTATATGTAAATGCATCATCTTGCCCCACCCGTGGGATAAGATGGGGATATTATTTTTATATACAAGAAAGACAAATTAAAATGGTTAAACTGTCGTTTTCTTCAATATTGGCGCAAGAACAGTGTGTGCCCATTTATCACAATGGCTACATTTAGCCCAACTCTCTGTAGATGGAGTATAACCCTCCACAATAGAGGCATTCTGTGTCATTTGTCTTTTGTTTCTTGTTAGGCCTACTCTTGCTGAAGGGGCCTGTTTGTCGTCTCTGCAGCAATAAATTCTGTTTCCGAAAATACTTCTGAATTCATAGGCCATATCCATGGTCAACCTGGGGCTAGACGGGTATCCCATCTTGCCCCCAACGTACACTTTTCATACTGACTACAAACACAGGTAAATTTCATTTCAAAAATAAACAATTACAGTCTTAAAGGTTACTTCGAATACTATAATCTCTTCACCTAAAAGGTAATGTAAAAGTTCACAATGATACTTTGTAGAAACTTTTTAGCAGGCATAAAATTAGATGAAGTATTGCCGAAACATGAAAAACGTTCTTACTTCCAAACAAAGAGAGCGATTTGGACGTTCTCTCGCTCCATAACCCCTTTCGAGGTAGACATTTAGTTCCCCAAATAACAGCTAGATAAAAGCACATTAACCACAAATAAACAGACGTCCCTTTCTTACCCCATGACCTCATCTTGCACCACCTTTCCCTATACGAGTTTATTATCTTTATCCATATTTTTTTAAAGTTATTTTACACTTATTTTATAACTGTTAACAGCACTTTAAAAATCTATTTAACTTTATGTAAGATATGCTAATTTAAAATTCAAAACTTTGTAACGTGTATTTAAAAAGTATTTAGGAATAATATTTAACAGTCCTAAATGCGCTATCCTTTCCAGTTATTCACCTGTAAGAAATTCATTCAAGTATGAGTCATCGTTTGCACGCACTCGTATTTTTTTTATTTGCTTATTCGAAATTCGCAAATTGTCATTATATTTCATCACAGAATAAAGAGAAAATATGTAATTAGTTGATAATGTTCAATTCTGAATCGTTTGGATCATAATAGGTGATGAAAGCCAGTGTTTTCGACAAAGATCTGCAAAGATAAAACAATTTAATAAGATCATTACTTTTTGACACTGAAAAAAATCAAAAAAATATTGATGTCTTGTAATTGTAGGAGAACGAACCATTTATAATAAATGTAGCTAGATCAGCAAAATTGAATATTTAGCACAATTTTTGGATTATTTGATTATAATAATTCAATATGAGAGGCTTCAATTTCAGGAATAAAAGAAAAGAAGGCTGATTCGTGCTGACCAGAATGTGCGGTCTTATTCCGTTATGATGGCAAAAAAGTTTTCAGAAAAGAGATTGTAGAACTACATGCCTTTCTTTCTTACTTATGCGATTCATTTAACGTAGTCTATTTCTTTTTTCCAAAATCGAATTGACACTAAAATGAAGACGATTTGAAGATACAAAGATATTAAAAGAAATGTGCGAAGTAATTGATGTTAAATATCGAATAATTTCAATTGATAACATTTTGATGAGTGAGTTAGGTATTGTGTCCGATCCCGGTGTTGATTTGTCTTTAAGTTTTTTGATACAGTCCTGTAGTTCTTCTATCTTAATTATCTAGTCCTGTTGAATTTCTGGTCTTGTCTTGGTTCCCATATATTTTTTACCAACATTTTTCTGATAATTCTCTGAGAATTTATTGTAATATTTAAGCCAAACATTGTATTCAACTCTAGTCTGTGTATTCCATCCTGACTTTCTTTTACGAAAATTGTTAATTATTTTCCAGAAGACTCTCGAATCTTTAGCTTCTGATAATTTCTTGCTGATTTTTGAAAAGAATAGTTTTTTCTTAGGTTTGATTAAATTGTTATACATTCTTTTATACTTTAGGTAATTCATTAATGCTCTACTGGTGTTTGTTCTTCTAAAGATTTGTAAACTCTTTTGTTTTTTTAATTTGTAGGAGTAATCTTAATTGATGGAGTAATTTAAAGTTTTTCAAGGAAATCAATTAAAATAAAATATAAATAGGCCCACCTTATTAACTTATTTGATCTCCGAATATAGTTTTGATATTTGTATGTTAAAAAAGACGTGATTACAATCATTTTCAAAAGTAAATAATTTAAAAAATATATTAACGCAACTAATCTTCAGATCCTTAAACATATTTGTATTATTAAAAAAATTCATATTGTTTTTAATTGCAAAAAGTTATGATAATTTTTTTTTCTGTTTTCTTTGATAAAAATTTTAAAATGTTAATGTCGTTAAAGATTTTTTTCAATAACAATTTAAAACGTCTGTTAAGGATGCATTATAATTGAACACAATGAATTAAATTAAAACAATTTAAATTATTTTCGTTATTATTTAAAACTTTTATTTTGTATTTATTTTAATGGATAATTGTATATAAATTTTATAAGGAAAACAACTTAACAGTTACTAATGATATTTTTATAGTTTTTAAGAATATATCAATACACAAAATTTTCATTTGTCGACACATTTTCCTGGAAGTTGTTTAAGAGATTCGTGAGGTTTGCATTTCAAACCGTTTGCGCACGTTCCTGCATAATTGTATATGCCTCCGCATTCTTCATTTGGTCCCTAAAAAGTGTAATAATTTCAATGTATAATAATAATAAATAATTATTTTTAATAATATAAAAACTCGCCTTATATAAACGGCTGGTTATATACTCTGAAATTACTTTTTCGATAATTTAAAAGAGTAATATCTAATTCTTATTTGTTAAACTTCCAAATAATTCCAAAATAAAAGATAATAATATAATTTATCCATTTCTACGTATGTTTTATGTTAAAACTAATGTTAAAAATGACTAAAATGAACTAACTTTTGCACAGATGTAGCAACAATTACAAATATCTCTGGTTTTACCGAAAGAACAACTTTGGGAAGGAGGACAGGATACATTTTCGCAAGAACAAACGATTTCATCTATGGATTTACTGTAATATAAATTAAGATTAATTAATGAATAAGTATAGACTTTAATAGTTTGATTTACCTTTGGGAAAGAGAGAGAAACGAGTAAACGAGGAAAAATAATATCCGCATCATTGTAACCTGTAACAAAAAACTTGATAGTAACCTGTCTGACTAAATTATGTAAAATCTGCTGGTATTATTTACAGTTCATTATTATCTAAATATTATACTAAATAAAATTATATTTTTAAATAAATTAGGACAACGCACTTTAGATAATTAAAATAATGATTATGTTAAATTAAAATAGAAAATCAGAATCTTTTACCTGAATCATTTTAGTTTCATGTATGGAATATCAAAATCCTTTGCGATATATAAAGACATCTGTTAGGAAACTGATAACTGTTTCCCGGATTATGTTATCCTCCAGGATGTCCTTTTTTCAACTCTTGGATGATATCTTTGCATCTTATATCTTGAATTAATTTCAAAAAATAAAAAAATAAGATTGCTATCATATATTCAAATATTAGTGGCGAAGTGGAAGCGCTTGCATTGTCGGCATCAAAAAAGCCAGATTCGCACATGCAATTTACAAAGCACCTACCTCACCCGGTTTAGCCGGCNACTAAAATATATGCTTTTGTTTTAATTACAACTGTTATGATATCACATAAGTTCTAATTTCAACAGAAATTTAGTTTACTGTTATAGAATATTTATAATTTCTTTACAATTTTTATCACTATTAATGTTTGAAATTTTATTGAATAATTATGAAATATTTATTGAGGCATATTTTTCTGCGTGTTTTGTTCGATCTGTGACTTTTCATCTTCCACTATCAACGTAAACTTGCAAAATTATTTATTTATTTCATGATGATACAATTTGCAACAATCTATTTCGGATAGGTTATACCAGTTTGTAGCTATAATAAATTAATATAGATTACATTAACATTACGGAAATTTAAAAGAAAAAATGATAACGTACAGTACAACATTTGATAAATAAAGTATATCTTATTTTTAGCAATACGCTATTTTATTATGGCATGCCTCGTGTCATATTACGTCTTAACGAATAATGTTTATCACTCTTAGACTATGAATAGCATTAAATGATTACCGGTAATTAATAGCATTATTATTAATATAAACGGCAGAACAAAAAATTTTTGTTCAAATTTAGCCTAGGGCTATCGTATAATCTGTTGTCATGGCAAACACGTTTTACAGAAATGAAAATTAGCGAGTATCTGGATATAAATGTAGAAATAGTGCAGCGTTGAGCAATTACAAATTATACAAGATAATAGCGAGGTTGCGGCCGAAGTTTTCAACGCAAAAACGTGAACGTAGGACGTTCAGCGCCGCGTTCCTGTAAGTCTAGAAGTTTGACAATGGAGTTTGGAACGTCGAGCATGATTCCACTGACGTTTGACAATGGAGTTTGACAATGGAGTTTGGAACGTCAGTGGAATCATGCTCGACGTTCCAAACTCCATTGTCAAACTTCTAGGCTTACAAGAAGGCGGCGCTGAACGTCCGACGTTCACGTTTTTTGCGTTGAAATCTTCGGCCGCAACCTCGCTAATAAATGCATAAATTGATTGCGAAATATAGGTTGAAGAGTTTTTTTTTATTATTATTACATGCACGTACAGTATATATTCGTATTTCATATTCATTTCTTAGTCTATTCAGTTTATTTTCCTTTTCTCTTTTTCATTTATTGCATTAAAATCACTGTTAGAGATGTTGAAGATGATTGTTTGATTATATTACAAATTGTTTTTCCACAATCGGCTATAATTTATTTAAAATATTTTAAAAATTTATACAGTATTTTTATCTATATATCTCTATAAATTTAAAATACTCTAAACAGGACTGCTCTAAACTAATTTATTCCTAAGATCTCGTGGAACATTTTCATTTAGTTCGAGTTCAAATCTAGATAAACAGTTCACTGTTTCGTGGAAAACCATATTTACAAAATGAAGAACGCGTCAGTAGTTCCGGGTTCTTATCGGAACTGTTCCTAGTATTTTCTAGTCCAGAATGACTGTAAGCCGGAACCACTACCTCTTCCATTAGCCGCTATAAAATGTCTGATCGAAAGGTGATCAGAGGATATTAACATAATGGTTGATATTAAACGGTTATTCTTTCGATCAAAGTTTGTTTAATTTAATGGATTAGTGTATTTTTGCGTTCCCTCTTTGCAAAATAAAAATTTTAAGCCGGATTTCTACTTATAATAAGATAGATCAAATACGAATATTTATCATAATATCTATATAAAAAAAAAAAAAAATACTAAATTTGAATTAATTTTACAGCTTAATAATAACAATAAATTTTTAATAACAAAATGATACGATGTAAATACAATCGATAATTTCATTTTCCGTAATTTTGTTCTCTTTTATATTTCAACAAGGACAAACTCAAATATGATATTTTATCAAATTAACACTTAAAATTATTTCCTATTATAAACAACTGACATTAATTTGACAATTATATTCCGGAAACAATAGGACATCACTAAAGGAAATAGGAAGTTGTAACATGACAAGAAGTATTATTATACTATTATCAAACTTTATACACATTTCACTAATTTTACTGGTTTCATTTTTTAAAATTTGACAATGTTATTTTGAAATTTTTAAAAAGTGAATTAGATATCAAATCTTATTCAATAAGTTTATGTATAATTATGTTTAAATTAAAAATATGCCGAATGAATTTATGAATCTTGAGGAAGAGTTTTTCGAAGATACAATTTTTAAAATAATTTCAAATTCTCTCAACTTATTAGGCCTAATTTCCTAAATTTAATATGATTCACGTGATCATAACGGATCAGCTAATTATCTAAGTAAAATAAACATTTGAAACTTGTGCATAAGAAAACAAAGCAATTTGACAATAATGACACTAAGACTCAACATGTATTCACATGTTGAGTGTTACTGCACAAAGCACATTAAACAGATTGCTTCATTCAAAATTTCCTGTAGCTATGTTACCATGATGATAAACATTGGCACAGAAAGACTTCGAGCTCTACTTTGTGCCTTAAAATCGTTGCATGTACAGTATATTAATTTGGCTGAACGTTAGAACATCTTTCAGCAGTATCAGTAGGAAGTTTGGGGCAATGGGTTTGAGTTAAAAAAGGCAGATGAAATCGGGAGGGGCGGGGTGTCCAGGTTTCGTGGTAGTTAAGTATATCCTCATAAATATAGCGTTTATAGAAAATTATTAGAATTGATTTGGTTTATTTGATTACGCGTGAGCGATCTGCCAAAGAGGATGCATCCCGGGAAGATTTTTATGTAAAGCTGGCCCCTATTTCGGTGTTAAAGATCTCCATTTTTGGAAATTTCTTTTTTTAAAATAAACATTTGTAGAAACTGTTCTAATTCTCTTGATCGTATCTTCTCTAGTTGTTGGTTCCTGTTCATAGACAATGTTCTTTAAATATCCGGGGGATATTTAAAGAACTTTGTCTATGAACAGGCAAACAAATTAGTTAGGCGAAGTCAGTGCCGGCCCGAGGCAAGTTTTAGGATGGAGCGAGATCCTATTATGGCGCCCCCCTTGGTTGCCCCTAATTTATACCCTTTAATTTTCTCTACCACTGAGGCGCCCACTAGGACTTAGCGCCTGGAGTGGCTGCTCCATTCGCCCTATGGTAGGGCCGGCTCTGGGCGAAGTCAAGTCCGGCGATTGAGCGGGCCATTATATTGGTCCAAGTCGTCAAACCCATCTTCCATTAAAGTGCCAGTTTAAATAATTTAGGAAAGAGTGGGCAAAAAGGCACATCTAACAAAATTTAAGTCTTTAATATTTACTTTTTAAAAAATAAACTACTTTGCTATTTTGCATTAATGGAAAAATTGAAATGCAAGAAGATAATTCAGTAATAGAAAACATAGAAAGCACTGATGTGACCTAATACACAAGTGAAAGCGTGGAAATCTCCAATCGACATAAATTCCTATGTGCAACTTCTGCACGATAGGCCAAATGACATTATGCCATTTTGCCCCAATCTGTCCTTACGCATCGGTTTATTAGACCCACACAATACAATGCTTTTTATGAAATACGTGGATAGAAATACTAAATACCTTTATTACCTGAATTAATTACATTCATTGAATTGTAATTAATTCATTGAATGTGTATCTATTTAAATATTTGATAAAATCCCATACATTCATTGAATTGTATGGGATTTTATCAAATATTTAAATAGATACACAATAATATATTACTGAGCTTATTTCTATCTGATCAAATAAAAACTGTCCAGCAATGTCCGAAATCGCAATTAGGCCTAATGAGAAAGATGATCATTAGCTTTCATCAGGATGTAACAACAGTAGTGCGATGTATTGACAATAAAAACAAGCATTCTGCCATTCTGGCCTCTCTCCCTACTACAATGCGTGCATAGTAGGACCCCATTCCATTTAACTGAATCCATTCTTTGCCTTTTATGAAGATCAACACCTACAAGCAAAATTGGTAGCTCACTCGAGTTTTCTGTTCATATTCCCATAGAATAAATAGAAAATAAAGAATCTATTGGGTAAGCATTGTAAATGTTTTTGCACGAATTTCCAGTTCATTATTTGAAGCAAAGAATGAATCCACCAAATAATAATAATATAATATATATATAAAATTTTTAAAAGCATTTTCATCTTTTTCCAAGGGAACTTCAGACATTCACATACGCGTGCACATGCTGTGTGGCGGCGTAAAGTTCAAACGCTCAGACTTTTGATAAGCGCATCTTTCCAAAAAAGCTCGTTTTTGATGTAGAATCTTAATATACGATTAAAAAAAAAAAAATGGGGGCTATCACGTAAGAATATGAAGTTGACCCAATTTTTCACCAGTTGTATTGGCAATCTATAACGAAACCGATAGCCCAATCTTGGGGCCTCTTGAAGTTAATATTTTTAATTTTAGTAAGACGCGCGGTTTTTGTTATTCCACTGACTTTAACAATAGTCCAATGTTTTCATCTCCATAATGTTCAGAATTCGATTCTCTCCAATAAATATTTAAATAATTCCAAGGTTAAAAAAAGCAATAGAATTAAAAGTATATGTTGCTTTTATTCATATTCTATTTCACGAATCTCAAAAACTATATGTAAAAAATTTACATTTCTTTAATTAAAGTATTTTTTGAAGAAATTATATTTTTACGGCTAACCATTCGTCATTAATTTATCAACTTTATAAGACTGCTTAATTACCAGTCAGATTTTTTGTAGTTATTATTATTAGAACAGATTTGATTTCAAAGAGAAATATACGCAAAAACCGCGCGTTAATAACCTACAAATGAAAAAAGTATTGATAGCTTATAAAAATGGCTCTCTATTACTATCAATAGTATAGACCAGTGATGGGCAAACTTTTTAAAGAGCGGGCCAAAGGAAAAGAAGAAAACTTTAGGCGGGCCAATATAATTGTAACCTAGCGCTGCATCTGAAAATCCAGGTGGCGCTATAAAAACATGTGCAGGCCGTCCGCCATATTTCTTTTTCTCTCTTTCGGCTACGCTACGCACGACGAGTGGATGTTCTGTACCGAAGCATGCTTGTAACCGATCGAGCTTTTACTCAATAGGTGTAAAACAAAATGTTGTACATGATTGTAAATAAACTTTCATGGTGAGATATAAAGCTTCGGTTATTTTATATAATCAACGAACACTCAAGTTAAGTGGTGCATCAACCACCACAGCCTGTATTCTTTTTTACTCGTCAGATTAGGAATAATGTCGCGCGGGCCGGATAGAACATTTCAGGGGGCCGCATCTGGCCCGCGGGCCGTAGTTTGCCCATCACTGGTATAGACAATATCCTGTCAATGTGTGGCAGAGAGAAATTACGTTCGTTCATTTCTATTCTCTTCTGTATTCTTGTGAGATGCTAATGTCTTATTATATTTGCATTTTATTCATTGAAACTTTTAGAAATTAAAATGAATTCTTCTCTTTTTTGAAATAAAAAAATTTAAACGGCACAGTTTAATAATCGAACACAACCAACTTTATTGTACAGTGATGTAGCTTTTGTTATACTTTCTTATTTTGAATTTTTTTCCGAATTTCTACGTCTAAAAATTTATTAAAAATATTTAGACGAAAAGTACCTAATTTTCCAAATAAATTATAGATATCATAAAACAATTAAATAGCTATAAATATTGTAAATACATTTGCTTTGCTAATTATTAACGTAATTACAAATATCATTCGTAATTGTAGTTTTATTAAGAGATTTTACTACTGTATATGAGAAACGTAGCATATTCAGGCCTTATTGTTTCGAAAATGTGAATGATGGTCGTTACGTTCAAAACTTCGTATATTGCTGGTGAACATTATTTTAAGGAAAGGGATCGTATCAGTTGTAACAACCGTCGAGTTTTGCAATGTGTTTCTAAGGCATATGTGTGTATAAATATTTCCATTGTCTACTTTTGTTTTGCCATTTCATATCAAAGCAAAGACATGGGTATACGATTTTAGGCCTTGATACACACGTTTTTCATGCAGTAAGTTATTAATCTTGAACAGACCAATTGAAGCCATTCACACTGTTTAGACAGGAAACAAGCAAGTACAAGCGACATCAGAATTACAAGTTGTTATTTTAATCCAGTCATACAAACACTGCATTTTTAAGCAGAATTTACACTCGGGCTTACTTCTACCACTTACATATAATACTGTTGAGATGCAGCTCAAATTATACATGCACGAAACTTGGATTTCATTCAGAATTTCATAAAGGAATACAAGGCAATAAAACGCCTAATCCTTTTTATATACTTTGTAGATTTGGGGAAGTGCCAATTTGATATTTATTATTCAAATTTTTTCCTCTAGTGAGATTAAAAACTTTATAAAATGAAGTGAGGAGCTGAAGGCACTGTTGAAGAACATTATATATATATATATAATTTTTCTCTTTCTGAAAGACTGGAAGAGCTCCAACTTTTAAGGGGAGGAAAAACAAGGAAACTTTTGTTGTTATATTTTATAAAGAACATGCAAATTCTCTTAATTTTTTTTCCTATAGATAATGTGTAAAAATTAACAATTTGATCAAACTTTTTCTTTTGATCTAACATTCAAAATGTTTATATGCATTTTGGACAACGTGATTTTTGTGAATGGTTTGCAATTAGTATTTCATATTTATGGTATTGCAAATTTAGCATTAGACCATCAATCACAATTTCTACAACTATAACCAAGTGATAGCATATTTGATTTTTTAGTTTAAAATAAAATATCAATGTACAGTCCACAAGATATAATGTTACAGATTTTTAATGTCTTCATTCCAAAGTAAACAACTGCAACAGGTTCTTTTTACACAGCCATCAACATGGAATGGAGATGAGAACAGGCAATACTGAAAGCAGGTTTGTTCAAAGTTGTTATATTACATAGTTCAATTTTTAACCAATATAATAAAGTTTATAGTAATCTGCAGGATGGAGATGTGATGTATTTACTGCCATTTAGTATTGGCAATGAGGTAAAGTTAAGAATAATTATGCCATACCCAGGAGAATATTTTCCTGACAGAAGCACCTGCAAAATTATTAGGGAGTGTGCACTATGCCTGAGCTGCTGGTCATCTGAGTAGCAAGATCTGTCCTGTATTAAAATAAATAAGCTGCCTGTTTCAAAATAGTTGGTATGTACAGAAGTCTTAATTAAGAAACTGCAAAACAGTACAATAACTACCTGTTGGCAGCAATCTGACCACAACACGATTGTTATAAATAATTCACTAACAGCCCTCTACATGATTAAGTACAAACAGCTGAATACTGAACCTATTGTAAGGAATGTATATCTAAAAATTTACCATGTCAATTGTGCTTGAGCTTGACATCAGGCAGAACAGCTGCAAATCAGTCAATTACATTAGTTCGACAGCCAAATATTTAGAAACCTAACCCCAATTGATCTAAAATGTAACCCAATTAACCCGTATAAGGGAGATGATAAAGCTGTTTGTCACAATGTGAGGTTTCAATGTCTTTTACCTATAGACAAAAAAATTAAATGCACAACAGTTGTTAATACATAATATAGATGTCAAAATTAATATTCTGAACACAGTTTGTCTCTTGAATGTTCCACACTCAGTAAATGAAATATTCTGAGAATCATTTAAAAAGTATAAGATCTTGTCCATGCCCTTTAACACGAAGTCTGTAATGTGCCACTACAACCCTGGCAAAACAGGTGCTAAATGGCAGTAAGTTGCATTTATTTCTTGTACATCAAGTTATTTCTAGTAATACTCTATCACAGTTAAAACAAAAACACTAAGATGGTTTTTCTTCTTCTAAAGAATTTTTATTCAATGAGGTAGGATCTTCACTTATTCTTTCATTTTGCTTACTGTGAAAATCTACTTGTGGTTTACAAATGTCTGTTTTTTCTTCAAATTCCTCAGTCCTTTCATTTTTGCTTAATTTTTCAGAAACAAGATTAGCCTTTTCCACAGGTTTAGAAAAATGTAACAATGATGTAGAATTGCCAACTTCTTTTACACTTAAATCTTCTCTCACATGATCATTTAAAGATGAACTTTCCAGCTTCCTTTCCTCCTCTTCTTCATCATGATTACCTAAAAATGATTTCATACTTTCATTGTCAGAATCATGACTTGCTAGCCTCTTGTCAACACCTGATTCCCTATTACTTCGTGATGTAGGGACTGTTCTGAGAAGTGAAGAATTTGTTGTTCGGGTACTGAGGGAAGTTGATGTTGTGGGCGTTATTGATGTACTAGTAACTGATGTACTTAAGTTACCTAAACCATTTACCAAGCCTGCTTGTGATAATGATGCAAAAGAAGCAGGAAGGTTAGGAGAAAGTGCAAATCCACCCAACCCTAAAGGATTATATAATAGTCCAGGTGCATAGTGGAGAAAAGGTAAAGATGATGCAGATGATAATGGAGAACTTGATGTATTGTTACTAGATCCTGTAGTTCCAGTTCCCGATAATTTTTCATTTGTTCCACTTATCTTCCGAGACGAACTTTCTGAAACCTTTTCATCTTTATTTTTCTCTCTTTCCTTCTCATGCTTTTCTTTTGATGAAGATAAGGTTGTTGAACTATTTAAAGAGGCAGTTGTACTTCCAAGTCCCTGAAAATTGAACCCTGGGAAGCCAAAGAGAGGGCTAGTAATTCCCATACTAGCCAATCCTCCAAATGGAAGAAACAAAGGAGTAGTTGTACTTGTTGCTGTTGTTGGAGTTGTTGAACTACTCTTAGTTGAATCCACAAAAAATTTCATGCCTGGAAAACCTGTTAACATTCCTGTATTAGCAAAGCTGAGAGGACTCATACTTGAAGTTGATGGGAAAGCTAAACTAGATGATGTCGAGGAAGGTGTACCCATAGCTTGAGCACTGGCTAACATAGAAGCAGCTGTGCGACGACCTCTTTTTTCTAAAGGTGTCATAATCCGTTTATGTAATCCTTCTGGAAGATTACCCTTAAAAAAAAATAAAAAATTAGCATATAGGAAATCATTGCAAAAAAAGATAGAGTAAGTAAAGATTGGATCTACTTAATTAATTATATTTTATATATAAAGTGAACTTTCTATCTGAAAATAATTACTGTTACCAAATACATCTGTATAGTAGTATTAATAATCTGTTATAATTCAATGATACAATATCTTTACAGTGGTCATTTACAGTATATTTATAATACATATACTTACTCATTGTTTAAATATTTAAACAATCAGCTATAAAATAATCAATGTTATAGTATAATAATTGCATTTAATTAAATCAGATAATAATTTTATAAATTATTTGCAGTATGTTCAGAATTAAAATTCACTTATACTGACAACTCTGTCCAGAAAAACAACATCCATTTTGAAAATATTCTAATCTGTAATGTATTTTGCTTGAACTATACTAAATAGAAAACTTCATACCATACTTAATGTAAATTAATTCTAAAAAAGATGATGAATTTTGGTGAAATTTTCAACTTCTTACATAGCATTCTAATGTGGATCATACAAAATGGTATATATGATGATAATGGTATGTTATACAGAAACACCATTATTTTCCCCCCTATTGTCAAAAACCTCACTATAAACAGAACAGACATCAATGATCTAATTATAAATTCTTCCAAAATAAAAAAACTGCATCAAAACAACTATTAATGTTTTGGTTGATTTTTTACTTTGGGATTTAAATCTCAAAAATTCAACCAACACATATAAAGAAGAACATAATAATAACAACAAAATTTGTTTGTTAGATTTTGATTGATTTGACAGGTTTGCCAATCTCTATCAAATAAAGAAACAATTTTTCTCTTCAATAACAGAAGAAAACTCATATATGAAAAGAGTTCTCAGTTTTGCAAAGACAATAAAAATAAGATACATACAATTTTGTTCTAAGAATGCTTCAAAGCTAAAATTCAAAATTATGTAGATGCCAAGCTGTGCAATTAATTATTTTCCTGCTTGAACAAGATTACATTTAAATATTTATCATCATGTTTTATTATTTGATTCATTATTACCAAATACAATAAGAAAATTGTTTTGATGGGATTACTGAAGAAAATGTTTGTAGGAAGAAGGATGTTTTAAGAAGAAAAAGAGGGAAATGATAACTATTAGAAAATTACTTAGGAAGTTTAAAATGCCTGGAACAAATGGTAAAAAATATTTTGATCATCACCACCTACTGGAACTATGTTTTGGGATTCCTGAAGGCACAAGTGCAAGAATTACCAAAGTTTCCACTGCTGTTGTCCCAGTGTGTTAAAGAATTCAAAGAAATGGCAATGCAGCTCAGAAAGTGTGTGAACCTTCAGTAAGGTTACATGACAAACAAGAACAGATACAGAATAAACAATAAAACATATTTAGTGTGAATCTCATTGGTTGCACACTTTTCAGACACCCTTTACAAAGTGTTATTTTAGATGAGTGCAATGAAATCTATAGCAAATGAAGATATTCCACAGACATAAGTATTAACAATATAAAATGGAATTCATCTATCCATGAAATGTTCAAGATTTCAGAAATGATAATGGAATTTCTTGTAAAAAGTGAATAATCAGTTATTAGCATTAAGGAAAATAAATAGAGAGGAACTACCAAGTATTAAAATCCACATTATTGATGTTATTGGATTATAATATAGATGATATTATTATCGATTCTATACATTATCATACTAACAGTATTTTTGAATTGGCTAAATGCTATTTATAATGTAATTAAATTATTATGTACCACTGCTTTATTGCATATTCATTGTTTTATTTTTATCTATTTTCATAATTATTTTGCTCTTTACTTGCACATGATTAATCATCCATACCAGTTTACAATTATTATCATATGTAAATGACATTTATAAACAATCACTGTTTGACAAATACTCTCACCAATATATGAACATCATAATCACAAGTAAAACCAATGTTTATGACGAAACTAATTCTTAAATGTTTGTAATTTCTGAAATTTTCAATATAACTTAAATCACTGATATGCTAATGACGATTCGGTTGAAACTAATTTTTGGAATGTAGTTTCTGATGAACAATTTCCCCAAAGAAGAATAAACTTAGATTCTCCAGTGGAAAAAATTGTTTACCAGAAATTATAAAAATATTTATTTCTATATAATAATAAATTATAATAATATTTTATTTTTAACATGATTCTAATATATAAAGCAAATTAAAATACAAATAAAAAATTACTACAAACATAATATATTTGAAGGATAAAGAATTAAATAAAATATAAAAGTCAAAGCAACAATCCAGTCAGTTAAGATCAGGCTAAGTTTTGACATGTATTTGGCTTATGCTGGATTTACTTTTGCTATTCCATTATGTTTTGAATAAATTATTAATGCAATTTAAATTTTGCAGCTAGTGATGCCTTATCTATACAAATTTTAATAATTAAATAATTTAGAAGAAATTTGGGTTGTGTTTTCAAGCCTCCTTTCAATCTTCTCTCCTAGATGCTTCTAAATTATTTAAATAATTCTAATTGTTAAAATTTGAGAGAGACAATGACACTACCTACCCGTAAATTTACACTGTATAAATCTCTCTCTTAAAATCTAGTATTATAGCAAAAATAAACCAAAAATAATTTGGCTTGTATAGTTGGGATTTGAATTAGATTTTGTTTCTTCAATATAAATCCAGACAGTAATTAAATAATAACTAATTGTTAATTATTCACTTATTGATTATAATCAATTGTATGACACTATTTGATTTTGAATATTACAAAAGAGTTTACATGTCATGGAGATTATATTTGTGTTAAGTAATTGCTTTAAATTAAAATAAATATATATATAAATTATAAATAGAATAATTTTCAAATTTAACATTAATTTAATACTGTTTACAAATGCAACAATAAAATAAAACAATGACAAATTAGAGAAAAACATTTATTTCTAATTATTCATAGTTGATATATTTCTGAACTATGCTCTGAATAATGTCCTCCAGAATTGCTTTATTGTTTCATTTGTAACTTACTTTCATATATGACAAAGTATACAAATTCTAAATGAAAAGAAAGATCTAAAAATAATTTATATTCGTATATACAGATGGTTCTAATTGAATTATCTCTACTGTAAAATAATATATAAAGATGAAACAACAACATTAGTTCCAAAGTTACTGTTAAGGGAATCAGGTAATGAGAATGGCAAGGAAGCAACTTGGTTCAACAAGGTTTGTTATTAGATAAATGAATTAGCACCAACTGTTATGATTGATCATTGTCTTTAAAGTGAAAAAAAAAATCACTCATTTAACATGACTATCTAATTCACCTAATATTCTCTCTTTACAAAAGATATTTGTAAGATAATGAACAATTATATATTGTAACAGCATAACAATGCCAGGCTGCAATTTTTAATCATATTTTGAATTTATTTCATTTAAAATATGTGCTCTCCACCTCAAATTAGTAGTCTTGCCCTGTACACCATACTTTCCTGTGAATAATAGTCATCTAACTCCTTTCAGGAAAAAATTTTTGGCTTGAAATAATGTGACTTCTGATGCAAACTGGAAGTTCCTATATAGTTAATCAGGTCTTCCTGACCCTAAGCTTTCCATAGATAGTTGAAAGACAAAACTAGATAATTCCATTCTTGAGATTCAGGAAAGATAGGAGAAGACAGACATATGGATGACAGTGGGAATTTATAGGTCTACAATTTTTTCAAAAATTGCAGCCCAACAATTATTGTCTTTAAAAATCTATATAATTGACAGTTCTAATATCACCCATAAAATGAACATTTAATTAGGAAAAAACAGCATTCACTTTCTCAAAAAACACTTCCTGCTATTATCTTATATGATAAAAATAAAATAATCCTTTCATAATTCAATGGTACACAACTTTCTCCTATCTTCTTGAAAATATTCATTTATTATTTTTTAATCAAAAGGAAAAGTTGATTACATTAGATGTTTTTAAATGGGCAGATTATTTTATAAGTCAATATGGAATCTAGGTTTGCATAGAGAAATAGTAGTACAGAACAAATAGCAATAAATTGTCAGGAACCATCATCATCACTGACATAAAACCTATGACTGTGAAGAGAAAATTAAAAATTGATTTATTATTGTTAATTATAAATGCTGTAAGTGTTATTATTATTATTATTATTAGCTAAAGTAACAATTGGTGTAGACTATTACTAGTTTTTACAGAAAAATATTGGTAAAATAAACTAACTAGTTAGTTTTATTTTTTTTTTAGCCAAATATTCTATTTTGGGTTTTTCCTATAATGGTTTAACCCATAATTGATTACACTGTCTTAATTTGATGGCCTAGAATGCTTTGCAAAATAGTACAGTACATGACTAGTTATTACTTGGGTCATGTCAAGTTAGTTCTCTTGAGGCTTTCTCCCCTTCACCTGTTTATTCAGGCTGAGGCAAGAACCTCAGCCTGATTCCTTTATATGATTGAGGTAACAGACAACTTATTCTCAGATCATGTTTCTTAACAAAGACAACTGACCAAAAGAACATGTTGATAAATTCTGATAAAATGTTACTTCAGTTTATGTTTAACAAGTTGCTTAGACTCTCTTCCTAATTGTCTTGATTGCCTTATGGATAAGGCTGACCTTTCATCCACAGGATTTAGTCTGGTTTATAGATGAATCCATAACCAATAGTGGCATGGGGCTGACATCTGTGGGATGGTCAGTTTATACTATGTTGACCTATATACTTGTTATTCCCAGTTAATCAGGCTGAGATAGTGTTCATACAGAATAAACTTGATTTAGGTAAACATGATGTCATTCTTTCGGTTGTTAATTCCAGCAGATGACTAATGTCACTAATTTAAGATTAACTCACTCAAGATAGTGTTTTAACATATTGATCAAGATTAGCTAACACCATTCTGTTCAAATGAAAATAGTTAAACAGGTTCAAAGGCTTGATCATAGGTTAACTCTCCTTGTGTAAATATAGTATCAGGGACTTCTTTGCCCATTGGGTGAGTTCTCTACTATGTTTCAAGAGGAGTTGCTAGCTAAAAGTAGTGCAAATGCGGAAAATTAATGTAGATGTCTTTTTAATAAAGTTATCTATGTTGTTTCTGACAATCAGACTGCTTTAAAGTTAGTTTATAGTAGCATTTGTCTGGGAGTTGCTGCTTGCAATGGAAGTTTTTCTTGTGGGTTCCAGAATACAAGAAAATTGCTCAGCAATGTAAATGATGATCTACTGGTCAAGTAGGGAGCATCATACTTCTTTGCAGAGTCCAATTCTTAGTCTGGTTTTTGGCAGCACACTAAGAAATACTATTGATATTTCCAATAATTTAAAGCAGTAGTGGGAAACTTCTGGATTAAGACCTCTAAAAATGTATCCTCTGCTTTATCTCTATAAAAATAAGATAGCAGACTTATGATGTAACTTCTTGTCAGATGCACAATGAGCTCTACTCCCCACTTGTATAGTACCATACAAACAATTATGTTCAAAAATTTGCAATGTTTAGTTATTGTCCTTCAAATTATTAGGTCATATCACATTAAAATTAGTGTGATATAGCCTAAAAATAACAAGCATCATTGATGCTTTCCTTGCCATTCACATCATTATTAGTAGTAGCTTTTAGAAATAATTGTATTTCTTTCAATTTCTTTGCTTATTCTAGATGTTACCTCCAAGTATACTGCTCCATATAGTTCTGAATAAAGATAATTAAATTATAACCAAATGTTGATTAGCTTACAGAAAAATATAAATATTGTAAAAACTACATCATATCATATTTAACTCTAATGACTATATTGACTGAATAAATTATGAAATATAAATAATCAATGAACTAGGATTACCTTATTTAAAATATTTTGCTAATTAATTAAACAGCTATAAAAGCATTTTAATTGGGCATATTACAGTTTTATAGACCTCTCATCAGCATGAAAAATTTAGAAAATGAGGGGAAAAGATTATAATACATTATGCCCAAATTTTTAGATAAAGTGCAGATAACAGGGAGAGAAAGAATGAAACAAAGACCCAAGAAAAATTCCTACTCATTCCAGAAGCTGTAGTAATGTTGCTTTATAAGAAGTATAATAAGAATTACTAATTTATTATTTTACCAGGGTTAGCAAACTAAAATATATATTTTCAAGCACAGGAATGTTTTCTGAGGATAATTCATACAATTAAAAGGAATAAGGATTTTTACATATAGTGTTCAGAAATTAAAAACAAACTCCTTGCATTCTATTGGCATTCTATAATAATGCACTAATATCTATAAATATATATATATACAAAATCTACATCAAACTACAAAACAAAAGCTAAAACATGAAAGAAAATCAATCAATAAATAAATTATACAAAGATACCTGTAATTAGTCTGTACAGTTTTTGTCTATCTTTATAAGAGGTATTTTTCTAATCCTCATAATAGTAAGTTATTTTCATACAATCAGAGGAAATCTTACTAGTGTGGTTTTTTAGAGTTTAAAAGAGAGGAGTGTCTTTACCACTTTAAACTTATCCTCCTATAATTTCAGCTTTATATTTTATATTCTATAGTGTTTCTTCATCTAGTTTGGTGAAGTTTTCTCTTGACTAAGGTGACTATTTAATACATATATTAAATTATAAAAAATGACAAAAGTGTAAGATATGATTTGTTTGAAAGACTATTTTTCTTTCTTCTTTTCTTAGTCAATTTCATCTAAAACTTACTAGCATATCCTTCTGAATAATATACTATATGGTTGCCAATTTCCTGTGATTATTGATAAATTACATATATTTTGAAATTTTTTCAGAAAATGTAAATGATTCCAATCATCATTAACTGAAGCTATTTCAGAATTCATATTTAAGACTGTTGCAGAACTAAGATTTTCTTTAAAATTTAAGTTAGCTATTTTTTGTCATATGGAAATATAATTCATTTGTCACAGTTATAAAGATTTCTTTCTTGTTTTGCTTCAAAACTAGGTCTAAAGTGACAAGTGAATATTTTAGACTTAAGAGTTTTGTGCTAACAGAATTCCTTTTGACCAGTGTGCAATTATCTGTAGAATAAACAAAAAAGTATGTTAAGTTCTGTTCCAATAAGAAGTTATTACATCTTTTGATATCTTCTGAATGACATTATCTTTGGATTTTTAGACAAATGTCATTAAAAGTAAGGAGAGAGAAAGCATTAATAAGGAGGATAGAGATTCCCTTACTACTTACAAATGACTTGCCATTAAGAAAAAGAGCTTTCATTTCACAATATATTTCTTAAAATAGTCAGTGCATCTTTTCTGTCTTTATATAATTTATTTATCTATTGTTACAGTTATTCATAAATTATTAAATGTACTTATTATCATTATAGTGTGTCAATAGAATGAAGAATACATTATATCTTCTAAAAGCTGGAACTGTTCAGAATAAATGTTACCATTTTATGAATCTCTGTGCTTGAAAACTTAATGATGAGCTCTCATGCTAAAATATACTGATTATTATTATTTTTTTACTTTGACAACTCTAATAAAGCATTTGAATTCTCAGTTTTTCTAAAACTAAAGTTATAATTTTCATTGCAGATAAAAATAAGTAAAAGGAGAAGTCTTTAATACAGAAAGGTACAAAGTTTTAAAAGTATATGTTTTCTGTTGTGATCTGTTTAAATGTACTAAAATGTATGATCTACTTGAAAAGTAAAATTATGAGTTATAATTCGATGACCAAAATAAAAAAAAGTAACAAGTTTTGATTAGCTAAAAATATGTTCTATTATTTAATATTCATGTAAGTAAAACAAACAAAATTACTGATCACAATACGATTTTTCAATCATTTTTAAAAACACTAAGATATCTTAATGTGTTTACTATGTATTTAACAAAGGTTTATAGGCATATGTTAAACATGAAGATTTATTTCCTATCAAAGTTATCTTGAGTAACAGGAATCTCAAATGGTTTTAATTACTGCTTATCTGGAAAATTAATTTCCTTTTGTTTACCCTTACTGTTAACATATATATTTTTTTAAACACTGATGAATAATGAAGTATGCATGCAATTTTTTTTTCTATGTTAATAATTGATATTAAAGCAAAAATTTTTCTCCCTCTCCTCTTAAACTACTTTCTACTTTGTTGCCCTAGATAACAACCTAGATAAACAAACTATCATACTGAAAGTTGATAGTTTTTTTTTAATTTTGTAAAATATGACGACATTTTCTAATGTAACAATTGAGCCTTGTATAATTTTTAAGATATCTGTATAATACATTATATTTATTCCTATCTTAGTGAATATCAAAAATGAATGAGTCATTCATTAAAATGCATTATATATTTTTCAAAATTTTTATTCCAGTTTTAACTAGAATTGAAATATAATGATAGTGATCATTAAAATGTGCATAATTATTATTTATAATATTGAGAGAGCAATGCTATTTTTAAAATGATAACTGGGTAAATATAAATTTTTCTATTTAAAGTGTCTTCAATGTTGTCATTTCAAAAAAAAAAAAAAAAAATCATTCATCATTCATTTAAAAAAATCTTTGTATTATTTGCATCATTATGAAAATTAAAAATTAATTTCAATTTCAGAGAAAACAAATTTAATTTATATTATTACTGATAATATATTAAATTGTCAACAATATTTCTTATTTTCTATCATATATATTGTGAAAAACTTACTGCCTATTGTAAGGAACTTTTATATTTAATACTATACATCAGAACTAAATTAGATTGAAACTTCTTATTTTTAAAATTGGAATGCCTCAGTTAGACCTGAAGAATTAAATTGTAAAAAAAGTAACCAGAAGTTCCACATTTTCACCATATTATTCGTCTAAAAATAACATTAAGTGCTGACTTTACAGTTTTGGTGGGTGAAGACACCAAGATAAAACAATTCTATTCAGACTTTTTTCTCTAACTGAAATATTAAGATAGCAGTCTTCTGGTAAATTTATCTGTTATGATAACTGATATCCAGCATAATATATGATCTATTTATAATCTTAGGAAAATCTAAGATGATACTGATTATGAAATGTTTTATGGAAAAATCAAATTAAATATTGTTTTATAAACATGATTATATAATTTTTGAAACATCATAACATTATAATTGTTATTGATGATGTAGCTGAATAACATTAAAAAAAATATGTATATAAACAGCATAGAAGTGCTAATTTTCATTAGCGATTTTAATTCATTACTCTCTGTAGTCCTCTGTCAGAATTACTTTGTGATGTTTCATTCTTAACTATTTTTGATTGGTTCTAATAGCATGAGATATTTTTCCACTCTTAATTATTTTTTCAAAACAAATCATGAAGAACATAGACCTGAAAAAGGACTACAAAAAGTTAACATTATATCCATTTTAAGGCAGTGTTTCAGATAACCCCATTTGATAAAAGTTATGTTTAAAACGGAATTTACTCAGATTTAAACATAACTTTTTGTAATAAGAAAGTTGGATCAGTCATATGATATTGATCCGTCATTCATTATTATATTTTGCAAAATTTTTACATTTTCTGAAACATACTTTATCACGCACAAGAGGTCCCCACTTAGGATCAACATCAAACATTGGGTTCTTTTCTAACCAATCTGCCAGATGCTTTAGAGTTGGAGCTTTACTCCCTGTTATCTGCAAATAGAATATTATAACAAAAATGGGTAAAAAATCACTATAACAACAAACTAAAATCATTTAAAAATATTAGTATTAGTTTTAAAAAACAGCATCCATTTTTATGATTCCAGTCATAGTTGACACTAAAGATAACTTTTCAGGTAACCAACATAAATTCTAGGAAAGTTAATTTTTTATCTATTGTGATATGTACAATATTTATAATAGACTAAAAAAATTATATATGTACAGTACAGTACAATTTGTAAATTATACATTTTTTTTTACATAAATAACTAATAGTGTAACAAGTTTCTCAATGAATAAATATACAGAAATATTCAAGTAATTAATAAATTTTTTAAAATTCAAACATCTTTTTAATCACACAGGCAAAAAATAATGATGGATTACAAATACCATTTGATGGTTTTTGAATTTTGCAGTCTTATATCTTATGATATCAGATATACTTTACATAAAAGAAACTGATGCTTTTGATTATTCAACTTAATACACTTATAGTTTATAACAGAACAATGATCAGTTCTAACCAGATAAAAAAAATAAATAAATAAAATTGACTTTACATCAGTAAAATAAAATTGTTTATCAGAACATTTTCAGTTAGAAGTCAAAGTTAAATTAATAAATAAATGAATATCATTGAATATTGATAATAACCTAAGATCCTAATTTTTAATCATTAAGTTTTAATTGCTTCAAACATATTAAAGAAATACAACTCATTAAATTTTTAAAAATAAAAATTAGACCTAATCAGAAATATCTGTATTCCATAATGTATATATTAAAATAAATGATTATGCACTTAACTGACAAATCAAATATCATTTATAATATATTAGTTACATTATAAAATAATTAAAAGATATAAAATAGTTAGATGATTAATTTCATTTCTTATTTACAGACTTTATTAGAAACAACAAAAAACAAAAACTTATTACTCACGGTTTACTGGAACTTAATAAATGCAAATAGTACACCCAAATCTTTTAGTTTTGTCTCTCATATCCATTTTCAGTAAGTTTTTAATTTGATCATTCTCAAAATCCAATTTTTCAAAATATTCAAATTGATTTCATTTAATATTGCTGTCTACATTAAAACTGCTAAAAGACTGTGTTACAGGAATCTTGTATGATACAGAAAAGAATTCAAAACTCTTGAAAATGGATTAAGATATTAAAGTTTTAAGAGATGAAACAATCTGAAATGTTTGCCATGATTACATTTAAAAAATATTCTGAAGAGGAAATAAGCAACTTTTAGAATGTCTAAAAATAATTGACAAAAAAGTAGTACTAATTAGGAAATAATAAAATATAAATGTTCAAAGATAATCTACTGTATTTGTTAAACAGAGCATGAATTAGCAATGTTGTGTGTGCAGATAATAAGCAACATTATCACATCATAGCAAGTTGTGTGTATGTTACATTCAATTCTTAACTAATAAGATTATAGTATTAAAATTTTAATAAAGAAACTATAATCTTATTAATCTTTCCTGCCATATTCTAAATTTATTTTGTTAAGTTTCAAACAAATATGAACTGATTAGCACCTCTCTATTTTTTTAACTAATAAAAACAAACAGCAAATAAAGATATTAGAAAATATTAATTTAATTAAATTTTTATATGATATTTATGTGATTAACCATTTTTAAAAATTTACATATGACATTTACTAACTGCTGATTACTATTAACTGTACCTATAATTTCAGATATCAAAACACTATTACAAATTTTATATAAAATTCTTTATTGAAAATATCCCAAAACTGTTTTTATTTAATATTCTCCTTTAAAGCTGTGTGTGACGACTGACTAAACTTGAAAGTATTTAAACAAAGAAAAAACAACAAAAGCATTTAATGTTTTACTCTATTAATCCTTTTAAACCGATATCCCGAGTTAACTCGGGCAGGTTACATAGCGTTACATAAAACTCAGTCCTTTTGCCCCCCCAAAATTTTTTGTTTTTTTTTTTAGATATTCTAAGAATAGGATATAGAACAAATTTATATTGAATTTAAACTTAAATAAGTAGATTTTTATATGAAAATTCTAATGTTTTTGGAATTATATAAATTTAATTAATTGGGAGGGGGTCGGAAATCGTGATAAAAATTTTAATTTTTTAAAAATATACAGCCAGTTAGTATTCACCCTACTATAAGCCCATCGCCTCCCGAGACTTCTATGAGAATGTCCCGGGAAATCCAACTCCAGCTGTGTTCAAGGTCATCCAGCTATGTAAACAATGACTATCAGTGTCAAATTTCACAGAAAGGGGAGACAATGGAAAATGAACTTTGAAGCTTTTTCTTCAAAATTAAGGCATTTCTTTCGTTTTTTTCAGTTTTAAGTATTTTTTATGTTTAATTAAACATTAACATTAAAAATTGCGGTGTACGCAATGGCGTATTTATACGCCGCCCGTCAAGAACGGGTTAAATACAAAAACTTTGTTTTCATTTCATTAGATAGAGCTGAGTATTATGTATTTCATGTAAATAAAATGAAAGCACAAATAATACGTATTTATACTTTGAAAAAATTATATTCGTATTTTAATTATCTCTATGTACAAGCTAATCTTACAAGGAGAGATCATGACAGTCATCATACTTTTCAATGATAATGTTTGCGTGGATAAGCCTTGGTATGAACTTCTATCGAGAAAAGGAAGAAAGTACACTTCTCAAAAGTTTTCAAGAAACTTAAGTCACTCAGGATTTTTTAACTTTATGAGTATCTTTGAGAAATATTTCAGTGAAGATTCTGTTGTAACATCATGCCTGATTGATAATTGCTAGATTGCTGGTCAACTCACCTGTGAGTAAACTTTTTCCAAATCAATGCAATTTTGTTATGAAATATTTATAAATTAAATAGGTTTATACATTTTGCCTATTTTTTTCAAATTAAAAATGTTCATTCTCTCTTATTTAAAAATTCATTTTCAGAATTGCTGACCATTAAAACTAAAAGTAAGATGTTTTTACATTTAGGAATGTTATATGTCAAATTATTCATAGCCTAAGTAATAAAATAAACTGAAAATTAATTGTAACTAATTTTTTTGAGTATCAAATTGAATTATTGTGTGTGACAGTAAACAATTTTTTAATGTTACTTCTCTGGTTTCTTATTGTTTACATAATAAGTATTTTCCCTTTTCATAACTAAAAAAATAAGCAGACAGTAAATATCTGTTTATATTACTTTATAACTTTAAATTTATTTTAAATATAATATAAAAAATAACTGTCAAACAGTAACTAAGTTCACTCAAACCTTTCTTGAGCATGCACAACCTTTTAATAAATAATAATGAAATATTGTAAATCTGAAAATGGTCTTTTAATAAAACTGAAAACATTAGTTATTAAAAAATTGCTGCTCAAAATGGTTCTGGCTTAGTTATTTTAAACAATTCTGAAAATGAACTGTCAAGGAATAGAAAATGCACATTTTTAATTAATAAAAAAAAATAGACAAAATGTATAAATCCATGTAATTTAAAAATTTTTGATGTAAAAATTTCATTGATTTGAAAAAAGTTTACTCGCAGAAACACAAACCAGCAATCTTGCAATTAGAAATTATCAGTCAGACATACTGCCACTGAGCCACAGAATCTTCATTGAAAGATTCTGCAAAGCATACTAATATGTTGCTCAGGATTTTTTTAACTTTGATTTTATTAAAAATTGTTTGAGAAGCATGCTTTCTTCTTTTGCAGGATAAAGGTTTATACCAAAGTTTATCCACACAAACAACAACATTGTGACCTCTGCTTGTTAGAATAATCCATTATATACACCAAACATGAGGTAACTTTTGAAAATAGAGAGATTTTTTCCCCCTCATGCATAAAAAGTTGTTTGATGTATTAATAATTAACTACATTGCAAATACTTAAAATTGTATGGAGTAAGTGAAAATTATCAAATTATAGATCTAGGAACAATTTATTTCATTCACAAAAGAATTTTATTTTTCTGAGAAATTATTTGGTTTATGAGTATTTAATTCTTAAATAAGCCTTTGCATAATATTAGATATTACTGAAAATAAAGTTTTTAAAGATGAAATTTGTACAGTTATGCACTTTCTCTATTTGCTACTATTATTTCATTATTATTGTTAAATGTATTGTATAAAATCCTATTATTGACACTAGGATTTTATATATTAGTACTTTAAAAAGTTTTATATAAAAAATGTAACATACTTTTTTACCAGTGATTCTATTTATTACAGAAACATTTTCCTCTCCTGTAAGCCTCTCATAATCCAACTTTGAAGGATCGATACGAGGTCTCCTACCTCTTCTTCTACTATCAGGTAATTCAAGCAGTTCTGTCTATAATATATCAGAATGAAAACAATTTTCAGTTTTTACTATAACTATGGACTAAATTTCTAGCAAAATACATCCCAACTTTTAATTTTGTAAAAAAAAAAAAAAATGTACTCAAGAAAAAAAACCTGTTGTTTCCAACTGTGCAATCATCTTCAAATAAACAGCACATCACACAATACACAATTTTTCAAGAAGGATTTGAATACAATTGCTGATTTATACAAACACTTAAAACAATGTATCTTAATAATATTAATATATATTAGAAAATTTGTAACAAATGTCAATCATCAATAAGGTCCATTTCAAAAGTATAAGACCTCCCTGATTTTGGGCAAAAAATGCAAATACAGTACATCCCTAAAAAATAATACTCTTATGATGGGATGTATTATGAAATTTTTGCTGTTTATTGAAAGTAAATTAAGTAACAAGAACAGAAATTATGCTGACTGCTTGATATAAGAGTATTAAATCCTTTTAGAACAACGGTTCCCAACCTTTTTCGGGTGGCGACCCCTTTTTATAAAAGCCAAGTGACCCGCAACCCTGATACAATTGAAAAAGGCACTTTTAATAAGATAATTAAAAAAAAAACAATGAAATTAATTTTTTTAGTATAATTTTATTTTAAATTATGTTTAATAATTTAATGTGATGGTTGAAATTGCATGTTATTAACCAGCCTTAAAATTCGCAGGTGAGTTTTTGTTAACGCCAACCTCATGTCATTCTCAACATTTAATTTATTCCTCTCAAACCATGTTTCAACCAATTGTGACAGAATAGAGTACCTAGATTACACTTATTTTAATTTTAAAAAATATATGAAATTATTCAAACTTCAAGACACCATTAAAAATAAAAATTGCATTATAGTGAATATTTTTTTTAGTTTACTGTATAAGTTGGTGACCCCACAGAAAGCTCATCGCGACCCCCTTCTGTGTCGCGACGAGCTTTCTGTGTCGCGACCCATAGGTTGGGAACCTGTGTTTTAGAACAATTCAGATATGGTGAATTACTTATTATACTGGGTTAGGCACATTACAGAGTAAGGAAAAAAAAAAAAAAATGCATGACTAGATGTATTACAGGTAATTCCAGCAGCACAATCATTATGCTGCAAGGTTGCAATCTTGGTAAATTCATTGAACTTCAGACTTACTGTCACAGTAGAGAAGACAAACTGCTGCCCTAATTAGATGTTCTAAAACTTAGGGTTGGTATGCTTTTATTTATTGTTTCTGAGGTTTTTTCTTCTTTTTTTGAGCTTTTATTCATAGAAGCTTAGCTCAAGAAGTGACAGACCACTAGTATTCCGTCCTCAGTTTGTTGCATGTATCATTCGGCAGTAACACTAATTATGTCAATTTGAGGCATTGGATAATAACACACATCAGATAGTACAATGAGAGAAAATAAAGAACAATAAGAATGTGAATTATCCTTGTACAAAACAAAATTCTCATCTTCAGGATCACCACAAATAAACACACCTACACTGAGCAAGGAACACATCTCCTGGAAAGATTTTTTTTTGTCTGAAATTATTATGAAATTCCAATCTTGACAGGCCTGATTTTTACAAGCACTAGTGGAATGACACAAGAGTGCAAAAGTGCCTTCACCATCAGCTGAATGGAGGGGTTTCATCATGATCCGGAGAGCTATAGAATATCATGAAAAACCTGGTCTATTACACCTCAGAGTTCATTCTATTGTCTACATGTATCAGAAGAGGCTGTACACTTCAATAATTCCATTTGGCCCAATGATAGTGGATGAAAACTGACAATTCCAAAAGGACAATATTCCTTGTCATTTATCTCATTTGACAAGTGATTTTCCAAGGAAGGAATAATTGTACTTCCATGGCTAACAAAATCTGCAGATGTAAATCCCATTGAGAATGTCTGGGGATGGATGACTAGAACAGTATATGTAAATGAAAGACAATTTAACCATCATCTAAATGAATTAGAAATTGCTGTTATGAGACCATGGTGTGAATATACCTATGGAATATATTCAAAAATTGATCACAATTATGCCTAATCATATTTTTCAAGTTACTGCCAAGAACAGAAACAGTATCAGCTATTAAATGTATGATAAACATAAAACCAGACATAAAATAAGATGCCAGAGAGCTGGCATCTTATTTTATGTCTGGTTTAATGCTTATCATACATTTAATAGCTTATGAAATATTCTTTTGACATATATTTGTACTACATTTGACTAATAAAATATCATTTAAAATGTGTAAGCTTATTTCTATTGCTATCTGCATCCTCATTGTACATTTTCTGCCAAAAACAAGGGTATTTTTGAAATGGATCTTAAATTATAAACAGTAATAATTATATGCCTTTATGGCTAAGTCATCATTACATTTCACATAATTACATACTTTTTACACAGGGGAAAAAGTATACAATGGTGTCTTGAAAGTAAAGATGTAAAATAATTCTGACAACTGAAATTTGTTGTACATAATTTAATATAAAAATATTTGTTTTACTACATATATATATTTTAATATTTGTATATTTGTAATAATTTTAATATGAGAAAGACAATTCTTATATCCTCTAGGTAGAGGAAGGTTAATGTATTGCATAGTCTTATTCAGAAACACAGCTTAGTATAGTGTGTACAACAATAGACTATGAAAAAAATCAATCCTATACCTCAACAAGCATTCATTAAACCTCAGAAGATCCTATTAAATAAAAAACAGCTTGTTTCCACAATTGGATGTGATGTATCATCTTACTTTCAACCAAATTAGAAGTGTTGTACAACAAGATTACTTAAATTAAAAGAACGAGACAAGCTTATGGATACATGAAGTAATTTCATACAGAACAGTTCTTATGCCCAATGGACAGAAAAAACTAATGACAACAAATAAAAATTAGAAAGGATGGAATTAGTTTTCACCAAAAAAACATTGGAAAAACAAATTATTAAGGAAGAATATGACAGACACTCCAAGTACAGTAGAGCATTGATTATCCGAAACAATTTGTAACTGGGGTTGTTTGGATAACTGATTATGTATGAAAAAATATATTAACATATCCCACATTGAAATTTGTTCAAATCCTGGCATGTCCTTAAGTACCCTCTCATGGTCGCGACAGTGCTGCCAGCAAAAACATGCACAGCAATAAAAATAATATTGGAGTAGCCCAAGACACAGCCAAATATTGCAGCGTCACAGCAATAGTGAAAATTTAAATTTTCCGACTGGAACGCTTTCGGTTAACTGATGTTTTAGTTGATCAATATTTGGATAATCAATGTTCTACTGTAATCTCCTTATGACCTTTTAACTACATTAGGAATGAAAAAGACAAATTAAATCAAGCTAAAAAGAAGCAAGAATATATATAAACTGACAGAAAAGGCAGACTGAAATACTATGTAGGTAGCACCTATAGACAGTTCAGACAAAAATAAAATGGATATCTGAACAGGATGAACTGCCCTTGCATAGGCTGCTAAGAACAGTAACATCCAAACAGAAGATTTATTTGATGTTGATCACTGACTGTAATCTTTTAAATGCTGAACATATGCCACTAAATTTTCGATTCCAAGAATAAATTGAAGGTATATTTGGTAGTGTCGTTCCATACTTCCTGCAAAACTTTCTCTGCACAATTATAGCAATTTTGCTTCAGCTAATACATTACAGGAAAAATGAAATTTGTAATGTTCACTGTTTTTAATTCTGCAAGCCACTAGCATAGTTATAAGCATTTGTGCTAAAACACCTTTTCAAGTTATTCTTTCTTTACTGCAAACATTTCCATAGACCAATTCATTTTTGTGCTATGAATTCATATAATAATAAAGATCTTTCTTGGACACCCTGTATATCTGATAGATCAGGGGTGGCCAAAACGTGGCGCATTGAACAATTACAAGTGGCGCTTCAGTTAATTCTGAGCAAAATTGCCAGATTTGGCTTTTTTGTGATTAAGAATATTATATAGAAAAATAAATTTTTTATAGTCTGTCTTGGCAAGTTCATTTGTTGCACAATTCGTTACAGTCTATTTTGCAGATAAAATGAATGTTCTCCACATAGTAAATTACATTGTATGCATGTATTTTGAGTCTTGCGATCTTTATTTCCGATCAGTTTACAGGCGTGTAAATGGCCGAAAACATTTATTGTGATTAAAGTTATTCCAAGCTGATCTCGTTCTCAGTGCCAATAATTGTGGTGCAGAGTAATCTTCACCAAACGAGACTCTGGCAGCAATAGCACCATCATGAAGCAATCACCCTCTCGTACAGGAGATCATTGTTGACTATTGTAAATTGGTGCTTCAATAAACTGTCATAAAGTAATTAATTCAACTGCGTGATTAAGTTATTCCCTTTTCTCCCCTAAGCGAAGCAGATTTATTCTTATCTCTATTTATCAACCCCTAACATTGAACGTAAGACTGTATAAAAAGTGTTCGAGTTATATGGCGCATCTGAACTCGTCTGTCAAAAAATTGACGAATGGTATGCAAAAGGTTGGCCACCCCTGTGATAGATGTTCCTTAAGAAATTTTAAATAAATGAAGACGTCTCTTTTATTACTTAAAAATATAACACTGTGCATTATTGAGTGTAATCGAATATTTTTTTCAATTTCTGAAAAAATATTAATTATGAAGCATAATTTATTTACATCAATGAATTCCCATTTTAAATAAGAATATTATGTAGTTAAACTTTCACAACATATAATCACATGCAACAATGATGACTTAAATAAAATTTATTCTAATTCATTAATATTTATTTAATACAAAATAACTTAAACTCAAAAACACAGGTAAATTGATAATACATTTGAATTTTTTCATTTTAAATCTATACAGTAATATCCCGAACTTATGCAATAGGTGGAACTGAGCGATAACCACGTAAGTTGGGATATAATTTCGCAATTTGTGTAAAATCCAAGTCGGATGTATGTAAGCTAATAAATATTCTCGTTAATCTTATCTCGTCTTTTGATTCGTTCACGGTTACAAGAAATCATCACAGAGTCTCTTAATTAATTAAGCCCCAAGCCTGAGATATCTTGGGCAAGTTACATAGCATTACATAAAATGCAGTCCTTAAGGCCATTTTTGAATTTTTTTTTTTTTTTGAATTTTTGGAATGTTTTTTAAGTCTCCAAACTTTTTCAAAATTTTTTCCCGCTCGAAAAAATCTTATCGCGATTTTAATTTACCTTTAATGACACACACTTCACGCTTAATTGCTTTTTAATAGTTTTTAATGGGCATTTGATATCAAATTTCATTCATTGTTCTAAAGTTGTAGTGCACTGATTTTCCTTCAGTAAAGTTATTTAAAGCTAGTTTCTGATGTCANAAAGAAGAACGCCAAGAACTCTTGAATGAAGAACCAAGAAACTCGGTGAGATATGTTTTCTTCTGAAAAAGAAGATTAAAGTTGTAGTGCACTGATTTTCCTTCGGTAAAGTTATTTAAAGCTAGTTTCTTATGTCAAAAACTACCTCCGATAGTTTTTTAATTTTTTTAATTAATAGATTTTATTATATATAAGTTTAATTAAGTTGGGGGGGGTCGGAAATCGCAATAAAAATTTTAGCGTGACACATCTGAACATGTAAGCTGAACAACAGTGTAGGGGTGAGTAATCAAGAGTTGCGTGGCACTCAAACAAAAGACAAATCGATGAGATTTGAAAATCGTGTAAGTCGGGGTATTACTATACTTTCAGCTGATAAATATCTGTACTAAAATTCTGTAAACACAATCAAATATTTCCTTGTACTGTTTTAAATTAACACACAAAACTTTTATTTCATCCAAATGTTTTCTAGGCTATCTGTAGATAATGATTATAATTATAATTAAATGACTTAGTATTGGTTTTTACAAACAAATTATAATAATGTATACTGTGCATTATTTATATAAAGTTTTTATTCTGTAATCTGAAGAGGAACCAAATAAGTGCTGGGCTTGAAATGCAATATTAATAAAAAGTAGTTTTTAAGAATTGTCTTCTGGGTAATCAGTCTTGCATTAAAATTGGCCTGATGAGAACCATGCCTCTGTGTGTCTTTTCTCATATAGATTAATTTAATTGTTATAAAATTTAAAAAATTTGAAGAATAAACAGTAATTTTTTAATTGTATTTATTAAATGAAAAAATAGGTGTATTTTCTAATAATAATAGAATTTTTTCACCTAGTCTATAACAACTGATAATTTTGAATAAGGCAGAGTTTTTTCCTGATATGTATAAAAGCTCAAACAGACTTCATACTAAAAAGTAATTAATTAATGTTTAAACTTAATTTAAAAAATGATCTTCATAGTTTGTAGTAATTAGCAGTAAGATATTGATTATTTTTTATTTAATTACTAATTTTTAATTACAAATCAAAGTATATTAAATATTAAAAAATGTTAGATAATAAAAAAGTACTAAATATTTACATGTGGCATGCAAGGCATAGGATTGAATGCCATAGCTGCAGCTGCTGCTAGTAAATTTGGATTAGCAGCTACTAATTCTGGGTGTTCTTCTAACCATTTCTTAAAATCTTGATGAACAGCAGCGTTTTGATCAGTTAGGAATGGATTATTGGAAAGTCTTTCTTCAATTTTGTTTCCTAAAAATAAACATTAGAATATATCTATAGTCATGTCAAGGTTACCAAAAATATTTAATTTTTTTTTTAATATTTAAAACAATTTCGGTTCCTTTTGAGTTGTATTCAATACAAACTACTTTACATTAGATATTCTAAGAATAGGATATAGAACAAATTTATATTGAATTTAAACTTAAATAAGTAGATTTTTATATGAAAATTCTAATGTTTTTGGAATTAAATTTAAGATTATTGAAACTTTACAGAACAAAATTGTAAATACCTGAATGAAGTTTCCTTGATGCAGAATTATCTGAATCATGTCTTATGGAAGACGAATGAGCTACTGATGGTGATGCCAAACCCAATGATACATTTCGATTTCTTAATAAGCGTACACTTTCTTCTGTACTACTACCACCACCACCCTAAATTTACACAACATCAACATTATACATTACTATAATAACTATAAATTATGATTTAATTTACTTCAAAATACCTTCTTTCCATGTAACTGTAATTCTTGAGCATGCTCTTTTAATAATTGTAATTCATGATCTTGTAATTCAGTATCTCTAGATTTTTCTTGCTGACCAAGTTCATGTAAAATTGAAGAGGTTTGTAAAACTGACTGATGTTGTCTTTGTTGCTGTTGTTGCTGCTGTTCTTCCATTATCTGTTGTTGTTTTCTGGCTTGCAAATTCAATGCAAGTGCGTCTATACGACTTCCACCTCTACCATTTAATTTTCCACGGGGGCGAACTCGTCCTCTACCACGCATTTCTCCATTTAATGGTGAACTACCACCTCTACTTCTTTGACTAGGGCTTTGTGATTCAAACGAGGATATACCAAAAGGAGATGATGTTGAACTTAAATCCATAGGAGAAGATGGAGAGTTTCCGGTTTCTTGATTTCTTTGAACTGAATTTGAATTAGTAAGCGTAACAGATTGTGATGATGATGGTTTTACACGTAGATCTAAAGTTCCTGTTGATGTAGTTAAACGAGGAGCAGAATTCTGATGAGCCGGAGGAGGACCATTAGAACTAGAAGTTACAGACGTGGAATTTGAAGTTGATTTCTCTCCTTCAATTACACTGTGTTCTTTCCATAGACGAGGTTGTAGAATTGAAGTTGCAGATGATGGAGTAAGAAATTGTTGCACTTGTTGTAATTGTTGCTGGTGATGTTGAATATTCTGGATATTCTGAGATAAAAGAGCACGTAACTTGGCTGTACAAAAATACAAAAAAATTATTATTAAATTTTTAAGTTGATTTACAAAAATTTAATAATTAAACAAAGTCCAAAATATACATAAAATAATTTTAATTGTATATAATTATAGGTATTGCAATTAATTATAACTGTTATACTTATATTTTGATAATATCAATGATATTTTGATAATTTCAATAACATGCAAAGTGAATATCTTTTATTCACTTTGTATATTTACAAACTAAAATTTGTTTATTTTTTTAATCTTTCATGAATAATGAAATAATTAAATGATTTTGAATGCTATCTTAAGTGAGCTTTACTGTAATTTGTATCAATGATTGTTAGATCATGCTAGTGGATTATAATTTGGCTATTTTACATTAATATGGAATCTACACTTATTAGAATACATTGTGAATGCTAACAAGTTTATTCTTTAAGAATTGAATTTAGTTAATTTGTAAGTACACAATCTTTTGTACTTACAAATTAACTAAATTCAATTCTTAAAGCATAAACTTGCTAGCACACATTTTTAAATAGATGCTTGCTAGCATAAAATTCAAATCTAACAATACAGATGTATAGAACACCTTTATACAAATCAGCAAATAGACATCACTTCAAGTAAATTCAGCTGATGTTTTTGATCTTTGAAGTTTAATTAAAGTGACATTTATGTTTATATCCTGTTAATATAGTAGTAAAACATATTTTCTAATTGTATACATTTTTAATGCATTTCTCCATTCTGTATTTGTGATAGTTTTGCAAAACATAAATCTTGTAAATATTTTAAAATAATTAAAATGAAATAAATAGTGTAGTAATTATAGTAATTAGTGTATTTGCAGGAATTAAGTTTAGAATTATTATTATAATAATTTTGCTTTTTAGTTTTTGTTTGGATAGATGTTTCAAATAATAATAAACATAATATTTATAGATCAGGGTGGCCAAATCTTCTTACCATTTATCAGAAATAAGTGTGAATCACATCCTATATTGGCACAGCATTTTATATTATATAGTTAGTAAACAGTTGTTTAACTCCTTCAACTTTAAAACATATCCTTAACTTTGTGAAAATCTTTATATTTGTGGAAAGTTGCCTGTTTCCACAAAGTTAAAGATTAAAGTTATGCTTACAATCTATGTGTATATCACACTACAAAATAGAAACTTACAAAAATGTTACATAACTAAATAGCAGTAAATACTAAATATATATATATATATAAAAAAAAAAAATTGCAAGTATAAAATTGTTGAATTATTTGTATAGTTTTTAATGTGGATGGAAATTAAGGATTGTCCACAGACATTTTCTTAACTGTATGATAAATAATTTTTTTTTGCTAAGTTGATATAGATAATTCAAACTTAAATATCCCTCTCCTATTTTATAAGATTCTGAACACAGTATTAAATGTTTAGTGCAAACAGTTTGTGAATTAATCTTTACTTAATTTCATAAAAGAAAGGAAGTCTGATTAATTCATTTATTTTTTTTTGGTAAATGTTTCTGGGAAAAATATTTTGGCTATTAGATGTAAATACTGTATTTAATCATAAATAAGATTTCAGATCTTGTATATAAAACAAAGTATATCCTCTATATCTTATTAATACTAAAATGTACAAATATTTTTAATCTTCACAAAACTAAAATTTATAAAAGTGAGGATTTTACATTTTCCATTGTATACAGTATGTTAATTGATTTGAATTTCAAATACATATTATGTATTATATGAACTTTTTTTGTTTACCTTAAATAGTATTAAATATTTTATATATACCTCAATATAATTATAATTTTCTGCAAAGAATTTGCTAAATACTTTTTCTTTGATCATAAATTTTTTGAAGCATTTTGGAATGTGATCTTATAACATTTTTCTAAAATGTTATTTAAATTTAAAAAAGTTATTACATTAAACAAAGTATGAATGTACACATATTTTTAAACCGACAATTCATTCTTATATTTTGAACATGTATTATGTTAAATTATAAAGTTCACTTGAAAAGTTTTTCAAAAAAGTAATGATCATATTTATTAAAATGTAAATATAGGAATAAACCAGTAATATGATTTGGCACAAATTACTTTTCCACATAATCTCTAAAATGTTATAAGCAATTAATCTACTGTGACAATGCATTAATTCTACAAGGTGTGAAAACAATGAAATTATCTGTGCCTATGTTATCTGGATTATGACATACAGTAAGACCCCGCTTAATGCAGGGGATGCGTTCCTAGACAACAAAGTGCTAAACGAAACAGCATTAAACGAGGTCATTTTAACATAGAGTAAATAGGGATAGTGGAACACACGACCAAAAATAAACAAAGTTTACTTTAATTTTAAGTTATTTAACATATATTATACAAATTAATATAAAAATAACACACAAACATATGCACACAGAAACATAAAGTTCATTTTTTGTGATGAAGGCCCTGACTTCTGAAATTATTGTTTTTTTTTTTTTGCAATTAAGTTGTGAAGTTTCATTTGTTGCTTTTTTCTTTCCTTAAGCAAATGTCGGTAGCATAAGATCGCATCCAAAATGCCTCATCTTGCTTTTGCACTCCTTTCAAAATCTGGATCATTCGCTACAATTTGATCAATGATTTCAGTTATCGTTACCATATGTTTACTAAGGAAATCTGTAGAAAAATTCATTGGGTTCTTCATTTTCACAATCTCTATATTCCAGTTCTACACGAATTCCTTCTGCCAGTTCTCGAAGGTTGTCGTTGGTAAGGATCTCACCAGAAAAGTAACTCCTCAATATCTTGCTTGTCTATATCTCCTAGTCCTGCTATATTAATTAGGTTGAGTTTGGTCAACCTAATGTTACAGTGATAGGCTCTTCTTGTTGAGAAATCATGGATACCTTCAGCCGTAACTTCTTCCACACTTCGTGCATTTATCAGTTAATTCTTGCAAGCGAAGTCAATATTTCTTATGCCATCCATGATGTTATATTTTTTCCAAAATTGCAACAAAAAACATAGATTTAAAGAAAGTACACCTTTTTGCCACCTTTTGCTGATTGGTTTGTATTTGCAAATAATCATATTATATACAAATCAATGAAATGCTGCAATAATTTAAATCAGCGTAAATTTTGAGTTTTTTTAGGCTTTGAGCAGACTGCATTATATTGAATCAGCATTAAGCAGGGTCTTACTGTATTTCCTATATGTAACACTATAAAATAATGTTGTTTTAGTAATGTTTCTGAGTTTTAGTTTCAGTCACAATCATATGGAATTCTGACAGATAAAATATTGGAATAAAAATGTACATGGAGTAATCCATGACAATAGTGCCAAACTGTACCAATGTTTGTTATATCATTCTACAAACAACCTTGATCCCATAAATAGCCTAGGTTGATGGTATACAGCAATGCAATGCTTGGGGGATGTTCCGTGGGAAGACTTTTTATAAGAAAATGGCCCTATTTGCAAGTTAGATACAAGAAGAAAACTTGGAAAACTCCCATGTGACAGCTTATTATTGATGAAGTACAAATCTGCATTCAACTACCAGTATTCAGTGGTTTTATGTATTCAGCCACTGGTGGGTCTATATCTGAAATATACCATTGAAATGTTACAGATTTTATTGTTTCACTGACATACAGTATGTGTAAATACTGTATACTGTAATACTGTACTTCTGTAGATGGGAGAGATGAAATCTGGCCTTTTGAGTCATCAGACATTTGCTTGTAAACCATCCAAGTTTGCTGTGATTACTTGGTGGACAAATGTCTCACAACATAGACTAAAATTCAAATATTCCTGAACTGATGAGAACTGTTTGGCCCCTCCATTAATAAAGGCTTCAACCCTGCATGGATAAGGCTATAAGACTCATTGTACACCAAATCTCCATATGGATAATACTCATTGCATAGCATCCCAGTATACCAAATGCATTCCACAACATACTTCAACAATCACAATATGCTAATTTTTGCATTTGGAGTCAAAATTTTAAAATTTCCTAATTTTTTTTTATTACAAGTAATCAGGAAATTTCCAACCCCTAGATAATTCTGCTTAATTTCCATTTCTTCAGGTCATCTTGCTGGTAACTAATTTACAATTGATGCAAATTATTTACCAGCTGAAATTTATTGATTCTAAGATGGAACCCTTAGAAAGATCTAAATTATGTGAAAAAGAAATGTAAGCCAAAATCATATATGTACAGTACATATATCTGTACTTAAATAAATTTGATCAAATTGACTTATTTACTGAAATATGTATGCATTTTAAAATTTCATTCTAGAGAAAGAAAAAAGATGTTAATTAGGAAACTATTCTGTAAATTATTTATAATTTATTTTCAATCCAAATCAGTTGCAACTAGCTATATGATGTGATATATTACACACTTTCACATCATCAATTGTTATACATCATTTTTTTTTTTTTTTAAAAGAAAATAAGTTAAAAATCACCATACAATTCATCAAATACATAATGATTAAAATTAAGGATACTTGCCTCTTTCAGCTTCTATTTCAAATCTGCGTCGTCGTCTTCGTCTTCTGTGAACTTTAATGCTATCATCCTAATAGAGAAAAAATTTAAAATTTATAAGTGCCTGAATTTAAACGTTATTTTAATAATTAAATATACACAAAAATAACTTCTAATAAATATTTTATTTTTATTATAATACTTTTTTAAAATGTTCTTTTATTTGATGGTGGTGTAGTTCCTAGAAATTCTTTAATTACGCAAGAACTTTAATGCTTGCATTTATTTCCAACTAAAAAAGGTTTGGATAAATATATCCATCCACAGTCTCCTTTCTCAACAAGCCTCATCCCTAAATATTTTGGCTTTGTCTTCATTAAAATTAAAGCTCTATTAAAAAGTCATAAATTTAAATCAGCAGAAGAGTGTGTGCACTATTAATAAAACTCCCACATATTATCGTAAAAGTCAGAACAGTAAAATTATGACATTTTCACTGAGTAGATGGTAGTTTGAAACTTTTTCAATAGGAAAAAAAAAAAAACATTTTTGTTTACTATAGGAAAATTACTGCAATAAATGTAAAAGTAACAGGGTTAATTCTATTCTACTGAACCTCACTAAATAACAGATGAAGTAAAATAACACATTTTTGTTTAAAACAAAAAAATATGGTTGAAGTTCCATATTTAGCATTTGCATGTTTGTGATCATTTTTCCCCCCAGATTCATGAAACTAAAATTTGCCTGTTTGCAGAAAGATTAATAAAAAATAATGAAACATCAGATAAAAGAATTAAAAATTATTTAAATGTCTTCTAATGCAATTTGTATTGTAAACTGTTAGACCATGCTAATGTATTGTATTCTGCAGTTTCTTAGATGTTATGTACTAAAATAACTCTCTCAAAAAATGTAAATGTTGTTTTATATTAATATAATGAATCATGATTCTAAAATATGTTCTTGACAAAAAGCTTAATTAGTTTGTCATTACAAATCAGCAATTCTCAGAATTAATAATCTGCAAACACTTATGCCCCCATCCACTTCTTATCTTGTAAATATCATCTTATATAATGATAAACTGTGTACCAAAATACTATATTTTGTTTATCTGGTAAGTAAATTAACATAAGAGATATGTGATGCATGAAAACACAAAATTTCATTTTGGAACCATGATTAGGTCAGACTGCAGATCATACTTAAGAATGACTGATCTAAATAAAAAGTTTAGTGACATAATAACAAAGTCAAAAGTGTACCTAGAAGAGAAAATTAAACTGCTATTATTTGCAGAAAGATGAATCAGCAGTTATAATTTTTCTCAGTCTTTCACCAAAAATAAGAAAGAATAGAAATGTCTTAGTAAATTCTTTCTCCCAAGGAGAAAAAAACTGCAAAAGCCTTAAATATTAGAATTGAAGATCAGTAACAGAAGAATATTCCTTGAGTGATTCCATGAAATAAATAATGAATGCATTTCATTATTTTAGTGCAAGTCCTAGTCAAGATCAACTGTCTGTTTAATTTCATTTAAAAAAAAAAAAAAAAGAGAGAATAAAGAATGTTTATTGCTACCAGGAAGTGTTGAATAATTTTCAAAGAAAGGCGAGAGAAAAATTACTCATTTGTAAATAATAATAAGTATGACATATATAAACTGTAATAATTACTTTTACTTTGAAATAAAATAAATGAAAAATTTCTTTGTATGAAAATGTTTTTATTTCCAATCATATATTTTTGCAATCTCTTAACCTTATTTTCTCAATGTATTTTTCCTTCAATATTTTCAATTTCCATATTTTCAATTGTTTTGTGCAATAACTCAATACAAAGCTTCTACTTAATATACACTATATTGCTAATTAAAAAAAATTATTTTTAACTTACATTATGACTTGGACTTTTATGACTTGAATTTCCTAATTCGGGAGAAATACGGATATCTGGTAAAAATGATTCTCTGTGTGGTGTATGTTCTGGTGTTGCATAAGGAGTAGGTTCACTGCTTTGTCCTTGGCTAGATATACTTGGTGCAGGTGAAACTCTACTAGGAGAAGCACTAGTAGGTGGTGGTAAAGCTGAAGTAGATAAACTGGATAAAGATGTCAAACCTGGAAAATTTTGAAGGAAACTAGGACGAATTGTTGGCCATTCATTCTTTTCCACAGCATGACAAATATGTTCCAAACGAATCTGAAGAACTTTATCCTGTTAAAATATAGTAATTTCATTTCAATTGCAACAATTTTTTACATTAAAAATAAATAAAAATCTTATATTAATTACAGTAAATTAGAATTAATGACTTGATCAAATATCAAATGTTTGAATAAAACTATAATCAAATAATTTGGCTAATTGAAAACTTACTTATCAACTATTTTATTTGAAAATCAATTCAAAATTCCATAAAAAGAGCATGCAGCTATGAATAAATGAATGTAAATAAAAAAAACACAACATCTTAATTTGCTGAGAAATTTAATAAAAAAGCAAATGTTTTCAGCCAAATCTGTTGGCCATCATCAGGCTAAAAAAATAAATAAAATAAAATATATTTTATTTTATTTATATTCAAATATTCTTCTCCTGATGATGGCCAACAGATTTGGCTGAAAACGTTTGCTTTATCATTAAATTTCTCAGCAAATTAAGGTGGTGTTTTTTTTTATTTACATACTGCTGAGTGAGTGTACCTCAATTTTAAATGAATGTACTGATAAAAACAAAAATTTCGAAGTTTAGAATGTTAAAGAAAAACAATTTGTTATAATACAATAATAAGAAATTGTATAAATTTTTGATGATAATGCAAATTATAGTACAATGAACCTTATATATTAAATATGACTGTTTTGATTATTGCAATTTTGGTATACAATAAACTGACTATTATATTAATAAATTAATCTTGTAAAGAACATTGAATTTTATGTTTTCATTATTTTTTGGTTATTACACTTAGTTTGGGATTTTATTTGGTTTTTAATAAAATTTTTAAAATTTTATCTAAAGGGCTGTCTTCTGGATTATCAATCCACTGCTCTCAAGATTTATAGTATCTTGGATTAAGATGATTTTAGGTTATTATTAAAAATGACTATTCTTATCTACACATATACTTTTTTGGTTGTTTCAGAAACTGCCACATTGTATATACCATATTTACTCACATATAAGATGAGGTTTTTATTCATTTATCACAGCTTCAAATTCCTAGGTTGTCCTATACTTGCAAGCGAAAAAGATTCGTGTTTTTGCAAATAATTTTTGTGAACTGTGTATTTGCATATTTTACTGGATGCTTACCCTCTGGTATGTTAAAAACATAAGTATTTTATCTGGGTCGTTTGGATCGTTCTTGTATTGTCAGGAGTAATGATGAATAGCAATAGGAAAAGCAAAGTGTTTGAATTGAATTCCAGATTGAAATTCCAAAATCACACGGGAGCACGATATAAGTTTTAATCCATTCCCACATGAAAACAGATGATTATTCAAAAATCAGAATTCTGAGAAACTTGTAAGGGTAATCGACAGAGAGTGGATTTGACTTAAGAATTGGCAAAAAAAATTCCAGATTGTCCAGTTTTACATGAACAAATTGTGTTGTCGATTTTACAAGATTTTTCCTTAAAGTTTAAAATGCCAGTAATTTTTGCGGGACAATGTGTGCATTTATGTGCATTTGATATTTTACTTGTAATTAAACAAAATAAAATTAGAATTGTATTAATAAATCTAATTTTCTTCATTTTGATTTTTAAAGTCACACCTTGTCCTATATGCGAGGTCTTATATGCAATTAACTATGGTATTTAATTGGTACCGATAACAGAATTATTTGTTTAACCGTTTCTATGTAGGTATTTTTAGTAATTAATTGCAAATCAATTTTAACTTTTACTAATTTTTGAAGTTAAATTATTTAATTATTAACATTTTGATCTTATTAATTTTGTTTGATTTTAAAATCTTTTGTTATTTGGACAGCTGTAGAGATTTTCCATGTTGCAACATCCAAATCTGGCTATCATTAGCAAATCATAAGAGTAAAATACCAACTCCATTCAAATTTTTAAGAAAATGGTAGTTAATAATCATTATGGTTCAATAAAACATTGATAAATTATATTACATCATTACTATATTACATTTACATTATTTTATAAAACTCTAGATATAATATTATGTAAAAAGGAAAATTTGTTTTTCTATTAAATATTAACCTGCAATCTGCAGTTTTTTTACAGGATCACATACAAAAGCCAGCAATTTTTGCTGGTTTTTCACTTATTACAATGCTGTATATGCCTTGCCTTGAATCTGACAATTCTGAAAAAGCCTATAATGTTCTTCTCCACATGTACAAAATTTCAGTATCATACATTGTTTAGTTAACAAGAAATTGTTTTGTTTATGAACAAGCAATATTTTGAAAATAAATTATTTTCCAAATATTGCTTGGTCAGCTCCCACAGGGAACTCTTGGACTGATATAAAATGAATTCAGCAAAAAATAGATGATGGGAGCACTAAGGTTTTTTTCAGAAGGATCAGAAAATGGCTCTTCTATATTTTTTGGGCATGAAATAAAATCATGAAAACATTTAAACTGTTAAAGATTATAGCATCCCAGGCTACCTTTTAGAGCCAAGAATTCAAGGCTCTGGTGATTTGCAGACTGCAATGTCATTACATTATGCATAGCTGACAAACATCCATGATGTCATTTTTGATGATGTCAAGTCACCAAAAAAGACATCAGAGTAGAAAACCGTTATGTATGCATACAACTATATGGAAAAAAATTTGTACATGATTGCATGCATAACACAGAAATTTCTGCAGCAGTTTTTTCAGGGCCTGTGATAAAAAGAAAAAATTTTTCAATTAAAATTTTACACAGATGGCTAGCATGTAGCATGAGGATATCATAAAAATATAACTAAATAATTTGTTATGCTTCTAAGATTAGGTCAATTTGATGAAAAACACCCAGAAAAAAATCACTGCTGTTACATGTGATAATGGTTTATGTAGGCTATATATTAAATTCAATAATAACAAAGTTGAGATTTGGAAAATAAATTATTTTCTAAAAATATCTTGAAATTCCCAAAATTAAAATATTAAAAATCTTTTATTTTTAAAAATTTTACATTTAATGCAAAATAGCTAGAATGCAGAAAATTTCATTGTTTTCAGCAATATTTGCAAATAATCTGTTAGTGATATTATATCACAAATAAAATTAATTAATATAATTTTTGAATTTTATGAAGACATGTACAACATATGCATTATATTCACTGTAATGCTAATGCTTTATTACCAATCATCTTCTATATCAAATTATTAAGTTCTCACTTTTCATTTCTTCACTGAACATTTATTGACAGCATAAAAATTATTAAATCTATGATATTTAGCATATATTTCTATATATATGCTATATATAAGCTATATATTATATATGCTATATATATACTTATATATATAGCATTATATAAGTATTGGTTATATTAGCATATAACTAATACTTATTTTTCTTTATTGGAAAATTAATTTGATACAATAAAACTTTATTTTCATAACAGATTTAGATTTTATAATTGTATGTAGAAAGTTTAGTGTATTTCTTTTATAAATATATTATGTGAAATTTATAAGTACAAAATATTAAAAATTATAAATTTTACATAATGACAAAGTATATCAAGTATACAAAAAATTATATTAATTAATACCTTTGGCCATCGAACAGATGAACCAGACGATTGAGCAAGTAATTGCGCTACTGTAGGTTCATTTATATCAATATCTATGTTAAAACTCTCTTGACTTGCAAGTTCATCATTTTGAGATGTACCTTCCTGTATATGAAAAAGAAAATGTTTATATATCTAGCTAAGAAAACATTTAATTAAAACTTTTAATTAATTTAGCTTTCACAAAATTTTAAAAGAAGGGGAAGGAGAAAGAGATAAGAATTGGGAACTTGTGAAATTATTATTTCCTATATAGAGCCTACACTAATATATACCTTGTAGAAAATTGCTTGAACAGAAATAAAACTTTTGCATAACTCCATGGGTACATAGGAGAGGCAAAAGCATCAAACTGTCCTTATACAATATTGACATGTAAAAAAATAGTATTTAAATAAATGATGATAACATGTAGTGATAAATATTTTTGACAACTACATTAGAACTACAGTAACTTGGCTGAGGTTTCAATTTCTGTAGTTGGCTATGTATATTAAAAAAACACTAAGTTCTGTGATCCATTTTTGAATTATATATTCCAGTGTTTTTCAACCTTCTTGAATACACGACCCCTTTACAAGTTAAAAAATTCTGGCAACTCCCCTAGGGCCATATTAAAACTATATCAGTGATTTTAAAAACTATGTATTTAATTTTCTTTCTACTGAGACAAATTATTGTTGATTAAAATGAAAATTTCAGAAGAACCGATAATAACCTAACACACAAAGTATGAAACTTCCTCTAATTATAACATTGGGCACAGGGAGTTGTTGATTTTTTTTTTCCTCTTTAGTATCAGAATTTTCAGCTTCTACTTTTCTACTTTTTATTTCTTTTTGCAGCTCAACACTTTTTTGGGTATGATTTTCTGGGGTGGGCCGTACCCACCCAGGCCCCTCCCTGGCTACACCCATGGTTGAGACCTAAATATCGATAAAAAAACCAATTGTACTGTAAAATAAACAGGTACAGTACAGCCTTCTTGCTGAAATTGTAGTTTTTTTAATGTAGTGTAGGACCTACAAACACTTGTCTTTTTCTTTTACCCACGACCCCCGTGTAAACCTGTGGGTCGCGACCCCAGGGGGTCGTAACCCACAGGTTGAAAAACACTGATATATTCTATGACGCATTGTTAAGTATCATATCAATATAAGATTTCCTACACTAACTCTTATTTATTTATATATATCTATACTAATATTATAAAGAGGTAATGTTTGTAAGTAAGTAAGTAAGTTTGGATGTAGCGGATTATCTCCAAAACTATTCATCCGATTTCAAAAATTCTTTCACCAATATTTAGAATGGAACTTTGGGGTGGACATAGGCTGTATATTATTCTGGTACACATTTATATAAATTAAAAGATAGCATCTAGGGCTTTTATGTCCAACAGATGGCGCTATGAGTACGATGACCTAAGTTTGCTTTTCTGTGAGGATGAACTAAAGCAGATCATCTTCTATCTATCTATCTACATAAAAATGTAATGTTCATTTGTTCCTACCGATTCCTTTGAAATTTTGACACAATGCTGCATTTGAATACATATGTGTTTTTATATAATATACATGCCGAAATTCCCCCACCGGGGGAGATGGTTAGAATTAAGGCTTACTGTAAAGAACTCTGTTTCTATTTATACTATTTTAGATGCGGTTTTTTGCGTTTTAATAGGGTATGCCAACAGAATGTACTGTACACTAAGAAGGGATTTTTCGAAAAATTTTCCTCCCATGGGGAAAGTGTTATACATTTATAATAGATACATTTTGAGCCACAACAATGCGTGGCAGGGTCTGCTAGTATATACAGTTTAACCTGCTTATAACGTCATCCATGGGACCGGCAATTTTTTGACGTTATAACCGAGTGTCGTTATCTGCGGGGTCATAATTTCAGTTTTATAAAAGTATCAAGTCTGTTTAAGAATCTATTATAAAATTCATTAATTTAATATCGTATGTATAAAAGTGCAAACTAAATATTTAAATCAACTTTATTTACATTATTATGTCTAAATTTACAACGATGTAATTAAAAATTTCAAAAATTATTTTTTATAAGAAATTTTTATTTGTCAAGTTTCGATAATGGCGGCACTTTCGGTTTTAACGCCTGGATGATAATTTTCTCGTTTCTTGCTTATCTATCAATGGACATGAAGTCCAATATATTTCACTTTTAGGTTAAATTAATGTATATCAATTAAAAAGAAACAATAAAAATATTCACTTAAAAAAAGTCAGTTATTTTAGATTGTAAACTACAACACGAGTATGAGAGCTATGCAGACTAACCCACTGTCACGTCGTTTAAAGGGGTGGCGCATCTCACCCCACCGAATCAGGTGGTGACAGTACCACCCACAATCGTTCTAGGAAGGGACTCTGACTGAACACGTAGTATTTTCTTTGATAAATAAAATTTATAATTTAATTTTGTAAATTTAAGAGTGCTTCAAATATGACGTTAAAACAGGGTTTTATGTCGTTACAAGTGGGTTTTTTAACATTATCTAGTATAGTAAAATCGTGGGACCGATAAAAATTTGACGTTATATTAGGGTTGTTGTTACATCCGATGTTGTTATAATCGGGTTAAACTGTATATATATAAAGGAAAATTTTTAAATGTAACATATACATTTTTCAATAATATATATAATTTGTTTATATTAAAGTAAAGAATATTGCTTCAAATTTTATCTTATATATAAGGAAATAGTTTTATAACATATTTCTCTGTTTCCTTCTTTATGTTAAATATATGAACTATATATATTTAAAAAAATTTTTAATACCTGAGAATCTTCTAGATTGGGTGCAAGAATTTCCTTGTTTGTTTCTTTTAATGTATTATCAGATTGATCTTCTGTTTCCTTTTCTGCCTCTACTTTTGGTGTATCCTCAAGAATTTCACTTTTTACTTCAGGTATTTCTGCATTTTCAGTTATTTCTAGCTTTTTAACATCATTTTCTTCTGTTTCTATTTCTTTTGTTTTAACTTCTTTATTTTCTTCCTCACATTTTTTTTCTTCTTCTTCTTCTTCTTCTTCTACTATATTGCTTTCTTCATTATTATTTACATTATCTACTTTTGAACTTTCAATTTCCTGTTGATTATCGTCATTTTCTGTCTTAATTTTAACCAAATCTTCCGAAACAGCTTCTGGAACATTTTTATCTTCTGTATTATTTGTTTCAGTTATGACAGTTGAGGACTCTACTTCATCTTTTTCAGGTTCTGTAATCTCTGAAGTTTTATTCATTTCTTCAACCAATTCTTCCTTTTTTTCTTCTTTTATGTCATTTTCACGATCCTCGACTGAATTAACACTTGTTACAGGACTGGTACAACCTAAAAAAAACAATATAAACCCATTAAATATAAATAACAAACAAAAGAAAAATATTTATATAAAAGAAAATTTAATGTGCACTATTATTAAATAAATCAGAAATGACTTTGAAATAATATATACAAGTTCTTTTACATAAATTCTTAACAAAAAAAATCATCACATGAAAAAGACAATTTACTGCTAAAAAAGGCCATCATAATATTTAAAATTAGAATTTACTTAAATAATGCTAAAAATTACATAAACACAGCAGTAACACAGATCTGGAAATCCAAATCTTACTCTGACAAGTTTTCTTTTTACTAGCTTTGGCAAAATTTATTCCACTTGTGTTTGTTTGGAACATGCAGAAACATAAGTTTTGTTCTAGAACAAAGTATGGGTATGGCAATGGAATTCAAATGAAAAGAGTTTAAACAAGATTTTGAATCAGCAAGTTTGATATAACTGAATTTTGGAGAATTGCTTTTGAGAATGATCATGGAGACTCACTTTCAAGAATTTTTTTTTTATATGTTTTATTTATTTCTTGTGCAAAGTGACAAATCTGAGGAATGTGAGAACTGTATTTAAGTTGATAAAATAAGCTGTATTTTTGTTATTATATAAAAATAAATTTGTATGAAGTTAAGAAGAGAACTTGTTGGTACAGTCGACCCCCCTATAAATACGGTCCCTATAATTACGATTCCTATAAAACTACGAAAAAATATACGTATTTTGGAAATGTTGAGTCGGATTAGTGTAGAATCGATTAATTTTATGGAAGAAAACCTTTCAATCAGCCGTAGTCTGTAAACTTGACACGTGTCGGGCTGTGATTGGAACGACTTGTAAGAAATCGGATTCCTAATAAATTGGAACGTATCTATATCTTATAGGGGGGTCGACTGTATTCATTGAAACTGGAAGATAAGTCAACTGAAGAGCTGAACTTAACTAATAAAAAGCCAAAACTACATTCCTATATTTGATGTAATGTGGGTTTGATCAAACCAAACTAGTTCTGTGAATGTGGCACATTATGTGCCAGATCAGAGTGCCAAATGGCAAAAAAACATTTTTGGCTGGAAGTGTATGACAAACTCTACATCTCATTGCAAAAAAATAAAATAATAATAATAATAAATTTGATGGTTTGCTTTAATACAAATGTGTGCCTTTTTTTCTTAAGTTTCAGTACCTATAGTAATAAAAATTCCCTTAACTATCTTCAGTGACCTAGTGCTGCTGTTTTGTGTCATTTGGTAAGTTTTTTGTGATTTATAACAATTCTTTGTAAACAATATTACTTTAAATATTTAGTTATTTAATTAAGCTAGATATCAAAAATTTTAATAAAGTAGTAATTAACAGTAAAACAAAAAAAATACTATAATTTAAAATAATACAAACAAATTAATAACTACCAACTTTTTTAAAAACTAAGCTGATAATATTTAAAATTGGACAAAACAATATACATTCATTAAATATAATGAAAAATTCCAAGATAAATTTTCAATTCATTTTTACACAGTTATTAAAATAAAAAATAAATCAAAATTACAAATAAAACATTGGTTTCAAAACATACATTTGAATGTATACAGGTTATTATATTTTTAATTGGTTAATTATGGTAATCATTTGGTTTGACTATTTTTTGCTACTATTAATAATTAGATATTAAGTAATTTGGTATTAGAGATAGATGTTAGGTGCCATCTCTTATCACAATTAATATTTATAATAATATAAATTTCACTAACTGGTTTATTATTAATACTTAGTGATTTATATATATTTATTATATTAGCTTCATGTTCTTGAATTAATGTTTTCAATATTAGTTATTTATATATAGTTTTCAATTCATATAAGATAATTACTGTATTCTTAAACAATGTAATACAGATGTTCTGATATCCAAATAGACCAAAGTGTTAATAAAATATTTCTGAAAAGTAATCATCTTAGTCCTTATATGATTAGTGAATACAACTATTTATTATTGAATGTATACAATTTAGAGAGATGGAAGTGCCTTCTTTTCAATAAAAAGTTAGAATTTTTGAAGTTATTTTTCAATTGCAACTAATAAAGTTTAAAAATTATCATTTAAATGTTAATTAAAGTGAATTAAAAAATGATTGTAAAAATTTCATATTAATATAAGCATCTATATTTTAAATGCATAAAAAAGTAACAAAGTAAGAAATTATACCATTAAAGTATTAAAAAAAATTTACCAGTTGGTGTTGACACATGACTGCTGTTTTTCTGAGCATTTTTTTCTGATTGTTTTCTTGCAACATCTTTGAATGATAAATCTGGGTCATGTAACAAATGGTAATCCATTCTACTTAAACCATGTCTATAGAAGAAAAATAATTTTAAAAATAAACTTTAACTGGTAACTTTATTAAAAAAACTAACATATTTAGTAAATCCGTAAATAGAAAAAGTCATACAAATATTTTTTAATATTTACTTAATGCAGTCTGAAAAATTCTTTGTAAAATCATAAATCCAACATTATTTTAAAAGTGGCTAATTACAAACAATTTCATCTTTGTCTAGTCAAGTTTTCTTTATTTTAATTTTCATAAATAATAAAACATACAGTAATTTATAAATGTACAAAGCATCATATGATTAATTCTGTATTGATGTTTTTTTTTTATACAAAAAATATCAGAATATACAAACTTAAATTGCAGTCAAGACTATTAATGACTCTTTTTATTAATGTGAACAAAACAAAATCTTCAGAATAAATATTTTTAAAATTTAAACAACAAAACTAAATGATTTTTCATAATGAGATATGTTTAAACATATTCAACTATGAAATTCTTTAAATCGGAATTTACTCATTTAATTTTTTAATAAATAAAGTATGTTTAAGAAACAGCTGAATTTCTTAAGATAAGTATATGCTGAGTTTTTTTAATGTTTTAATTTTGATTTCAGAAATAAGCTAGATTATGTGAGAAATAAGTAAGTTATATTTAGATAAAGTTACAAATGTATAAAGACTCTAAACCTTACTTCAATTAACAATCTTAATTTAATTACTAGCATAAAATTAAGATAGTTTAATTAGTTTAACAAAAATGTTAATTTATTTATAAAACATTTGACTATCATCTCAAAAGTAATAAAATATTCAGTGAAAATATATATAAAATAATAATAATTACCTTGCTGCTCCAATTAGAAGATCTTTATCATGCTTTCCACACTGCCACCAGTCTGGAAGATCCATGGATGGTTGACACAGCTTAAGACGAAGGTCTAATTCTGGATGCGTCATTATCTCTTCACGGATTTTATTTAACAAATCTATCCTCTGCAAACAGCGACTTGCTCTTTCTTCAGAGATTGGTTCTACAATAAGTGGCAATTCTGTAACATTAATAATCCAATCCAAGTAAGTGATTTGTTTTAAATCACTGAATTTGATATTGCTTTTTTTTTTTTTTATGATGATACTCACACTAGCACCTTTTATTTCTAAATTCTACTTGGGAATGAAATAATGTTTAAAAATAGAATATAATTTTCAATATATTTATCTGTTTGTTATATATATCCATAATCACAAAAGCAAGGAATTATGAATTTGTTGAGAATTGTAAAAATACATTTCAGACTTTGACTGAAAAAATGTAAACAACATAGTTTTAATACTATATGCAAGCATGTTTAGATGTTTCTGGTTTCATTTTTACAGTTTTGATGATAAAACACACAATCTGTACTAGAGATACTAAATTTAGCTGATTAAAAGATGACTATACATCACTAATTATCACCTGAAAAATTTATCATTTAATTATTATTATTACCAATTTTATTACAATTTTAACATTTTCCACAAATGAATACATATTATATTATCAAAAACAGTAAAGAGCTATTATAATTTTTGTGTATAGACATTTACTGCTGCAAAGACACTTCAGAACAAAAGATACCCAATTTATCTTTAATATGTTTCTGCTTAGTTACTTATTGTAATCCCTTCAACTTCTCTTTCATTTTAGGGAATAGATAAAGTGTAAAGTTTACAGGATAGAATAAAGGGAGCAAGAAGGTTGGGAAAGCACGGTTATGCCATTATTGATCAGATATTACTGATCAAGAATGACGAATAGAAGCCAGAGTGGAAGTTGTAAACTATCAGGGTTGCCCTATGATAAAATCAGATTTTTATCGTACCTCTTGTGTATTATTTACACACTAAAAAGTACATATGGTGATAAAACATTTGAAAATACACTTTATCAAAGATTGAGTTATTATAGTAAAGCTAGTAAAGTCATCAGTTATTATAATAAAATGCTGCCAATCAATTTGTTTCAAGCCAAACATGCCAAGACCTCCTGGAAAAACTTAATGAGAATAATGAAACATAATTGTTTAATTTTAATAAAAAATGGAAAAGGTACAAAATAAAAAATTAAATTTTATGAGAATTCAAAATTTCAAAAACTATTTGTCTGTTGCTGTTTTCACATTAACAATGACCATTTTGGACTGGTTCTTGATCTAAGGTAAGAAATAGCAGCTTCCATAAAGCAGCTTCATTAATGACTCAATCATTTATCTAATCAATTGATATCAAACAGAAGTTAGTAATTTAGTAATTCATTAAACAAAATTCTACTGTGTATGTCTGGTTAATATTGTTTGATACAAGCCCTTGTCCCAACTCAATCATGTAGAGAGAGATAGATCAGAATAAATTAGTTGCAAATATTATTATTACTCCACAAATAACTTGAACTGACTAATCATAAAGCTATTGTCTTCCTTCAGGAAAACAAGGGACTTCACACAGATAAAATTTTCCAACTAAGGCTATGTATACTATCTCCATACTCCTCAGACATTTCATTACTAGATAATTGTACTTGCAATTAAAGGAAAAAATTTGAAAATGAAACCAAATCAAATATGCTTAAGTTCTTTTTATGAATATAATTTTATTTTTAAAAATTGTAAAAACTTCCATGATCACTTGATATAAAGCATAAGAATTAAAATTAATCTGTTTCAAAACAAAATTGATGCCTATAACAATTTAAGTTTTGTATTTTTACTCGAACACACTAATACTGTACAACCCAAATTATTCAAATTAATTAGGACTAAAGTAGTTTGGATAAACAAAAGTTTGAATAATCAAATACCAAGATATACAGTACATTCTTAAAAATATTTACATAGATGTAGCATGCCAGAATAATAAAATAATCACAAATGAGTGTTATAGAGTAACACTATAAGCTATTATTTCTTTTAATAAATATATTGTCCTTATCATCTATCAGCTGATAGATGACTTATGTATTTAGCATATCAGCTAATAGATGATTGCTTTGTTGAGCAGCTGTAGCACTTTGTCCCATCTCCTTTAAATTCAAGATACTTTTTAACATTTAGTATAAAGTCTTAAGTATATTGTTCACAGAAAAGAACAGTTTATCCACATATTTTTAATATCTTGTAAAATAATAGGTATGCAAGAAACATTTTTGAAACAATAAGAGTTTTTAGACTTTGCAATCAACAGCAACATCATTACATGAGTATCAGTGATATTTGTACAGGTATACCTCGGGTTACGTCATTTTGAGTTAAATTGTTCTTGATTATATGTCGTTTGTCAAAAAAAAAAAAAAAAATAAAAATCAAGTTTAAGTCATTTTATTTGACGTTATGTCTGTCCACCACAAATATTGAAGTCGTAATATCACTAGAAAAGCATTAAAGCACATAAAATCATATTAAAATATGTACATTNTTGTAAAAAAAAAAAAAAAAAAAATCAAGTTTAAATCATTTTATTCAACTTTATGTCTGTCCACCACAAATATTGAAGTTGTAATATCACTAGAAAAGTGTTAAAAGCACATAAAAATCATATTAAAATATGTACATTTACAGTAAATGTTAATATAATCATCATAAATCCTAGAGAATAAAACATGAAAACATCTGTGACTTTGTGTTGTCATCTTATTTAGCAATCTTTAAGAGTTCAATATTGGCGTTTTCCATGGTAGTTCCAATATCTACCATTTGGTGTCGTTGTCAGCGCCACTCAATATTGATAAATTTAACATAAATTAGTTTATTTTCTACTATCACAAAATAATTTTGATGTATTTGTTATTTAACCTTACAGAATCATCTTATTTTATAATGTCTTAGAGCAAATCACATTCACAAATAGAGTCCACAATGTATTATAAACATCACCAAATTGTAAACATGTACGTATGTACATGTATTTGTAAATTTAGATAAATTTTAGTTTTTAATATATATAGTACAGAAAAAAAGTAATTTGTTTGTAAGCTTAAAATAGATTCTTATTAACCATATATTATTAAAAATGCAAAGACAAACTTTTAAACATTTATTTAATAAGAATGTTTTATAAAAGGTAACTCAAACTATAATTAATTTTTGCAGTTTTATATTTATATTATTAAAATAAATTATTTACCTTCATCATCTGTAAGTTTTCTTCCACATACTCTCTTACACATGCCATAAAAAGCAATAAAATATTCAGTTAAAGTCTCATCATATTTTCTATCCAAACGAGCAATGGCTCTGAAACGATTCCAATTATAAGTTCCCTTTTTATGGTCATACTCAACACCAAATGTAGAAACTGTCCTATAAAAGTCTGCTTCTTCTCTTCTTGACCACCTTCATGGATAAAATTTGTGGGGGAAAAAAAATGGAAGAAAATAATAATTTCATTTATTTTATTTTTAATTCTATATACTTTTTTAATCTTAAAAGATTTTCAGTTCTCCAAGGTGAATGCTTTCAAAGAGATTCAAGTTTTATTATATTTTTCATCATAATATAACAGAAAAAAATAAAATTCTATAAAATCATAAGCGAATTGAAGGAATACAGAATTATAACAAATAAAAACTTATACAATTTTTTTATTGATATTAACATATAGTATAGAAAATGAGGCACTAAAAAGAATAACTACAAACTTAGTATTAATTAATGTGATTTAAATATGAATGATATTTGCGAGATTATAAATTTAATACTGATGAAGAAAGAGTTGGTATATTATTTAACTATTAGTAACTTATGTCTATTTCTGATAATTATGAAAAATATGTGTTTATTTTATAACCAATAAATAGAATAAGAAAGCACAACTAAATTTTTTTTAAACAGAAAAATTAAAAATAATTTTCTATGTGATTATTGATTTTATATATTTATTTCATATTACTTTTACTCATTCACTTTATTTGTCACACAACAAATGTTTTAAAATATTAAAAAATATCATCTTTCCATTAAAAAATGATTGCAAGATATTAATTATATTTATACCATAATATTTCTATATACAGAGATTTTAGTTTTTATTTTATTCTAGAAATAGACAATAACATGGAAAGTAAATGAATATCAGATAAGATAATCTATTAAATTTTCATTAGCCTTTCTTACAGTAATTAAAGAAATTAACTATAAAACCAATTTTTCATTCTAGACAAGCAAGAAAGAAAGATTTCTATCTTAAATTAGGCTTAATTAGATAATTTTTAATTTATTATGAGTGGATATAGTCTAAAAATAAGGTTACATTAGCTCTAAACTATTAATACATTTAAAAGATATATTGTATTGTGTAAGCATTCAAAGTTAACTGGTAATAAATGAATATGCTTAATTTAAGCCCAAACTTTTTTCAGAATCAGTAATTTCCAATTTTTTTTTTATTTGTGTAGATATACCCTTTCTAACAATATATTTTATAGATCCTTAAATTAATAACATTTGTAATTGACTATAAAATTTACTAAGAACAATGACAAATACAAATGAATTTAAATAAGAAAGACTTATTTACACAGAAATGTGCATAAAATGTTTCTTATTTATACGTGTAATTATAAATATTGAGAGAAACAATGGAATTTAACACGTTAAACTTTCATAGAAAAAAATATTTGAGTATTATTGAGATTTTTGCACACTTTGTATTAGAACAACAATAAACTTTCAAATATCTGAAAATGGATTTTTGTAAATAAGCAGAAAATACACTGCATGACTATAGGATTATTGCTATGGAAGTTTAGCAGAAAGAGTTTAAAATCTCAAAGGAATGAAACAGAATTTCTTACAAGTTAAAAATTCTATATAAGAAAAAAACTATTGATATTAAAAATGTAGAGTGATATTACTATAAATACAGAAGTTCATAGTATCTTAATCAGATCATTTAATTTAATATGATGATGAGATTTTTTCTACTGCTAACTCTAAAAATGATATTCAATAATTATTCACTATATGTATGATAAATTTTATACAAAATGTTAAGAAATACTAATTTTACACAAAAAGTAAAAATACAGTCATCTGTTTTTAATTACCTACATTGGTTTAATATTGTGCTCTTAACACAATTTTTTTAAAAATTTACCTTGAATTTATTTTAGCTCTTCTTTTGTAGAAATACTATAATTTATCTTGCTAATTCTAAATATGAATATAAGCACTGTATATTTGTTTTATTAAAAATAATGTGGACCCATAACAAAGTATATTTAATAAATAAGATAAACTATCTTCAGTGTTAAAGATGACTTAAAAGACACATTTTTTGCTAACATAAGAGTTTTATTTGCAAGCATTTCTGATAATTAACATGATGATAATATGTTAATTGAAAGTGTTTACAAATAAACTATTGTGTAAAAAATATGTCTTTTAAGTCATCTTTAACACTGAAGACAGCTTATTTTATATATTATTTGATTTATATTTTATACATTTTAAATTTGTTTAAAAATGTAATCTTTAAATGAAATGCTCATTTTTTTCTACACTATATTTATTATAAACAAGCATTTATACTCCATCACTGTTATAATTCTGTATACACAAGTTTCTAATAAAATTTGAAATATTTTATGAAATTAATGATGAGAAAATTAGCAAATTAAATTATTTTTCTAACAAACAATATTGAGTTTAGTTTGTAACAGAAATTTTAAATAAAACATAATAAATAATATGCAGCATATAGGAAAGTCAAAAACAAATAAAATGTGTAAAAAAAAGTTATGAAAGACATTTCTTAATAATGAAATGACAAGATTCATTGGCTGAAAAAATTTCAGATTTATGATTTAACAATGCATTTACAGAACAATTTTTAAAATTTAAAAACAACAATTTATGTAAATTTCTGATAATCCTATACTAATTATTATAGTAATTTATCAAATTTAAACAACATTAAAATGTTATTATTCCATTTTAAATCACAAATAACTCACAATCCAAGAAGCCATGCAAAATATCTTTAAATTACAACTAACAATCAAATTAGTTAAAGAACATACAAACAAAAAACTGAAAATAATTCAAAAAATTTTATAAAACTATTTTCAAAGCAATTGATTAGAAAAGTCCAATTATAAACAAATTTATTTGCAAAATAATTATTTTTGACTTCTATAAATTTGTTTTTTTTTAGTTAATTTCAATTTTTATAAATAAAACAAAACTGTAAATTGTAAATACATACTGATATTTATAAAAATTGATTAAGTAATACAACTTACAAATTAGTTTGTTGGTCTATTAACTGATTTTGTTAAATAATAATTATTCATATTATCATTTTTATAATAAGTGCCTTTTCTTAATTTCTACCACAAATATAATTTGTATATTAATATTAAAACATTAGTTTTCAGTAATTACTTATAATCAGTGCAGTGCAGCAAATTTCATTTATTTAATAAAAATGTATAATAAATAAATTTCTCACAATAAGGCAAAAATAACACTATTCATAAAATATATGTACTGTAAAAATATACAATTTGATAAAATGTACTAGATATTATTTAAAACATATTTATAATTTAGAGAATTTGACTCCTTTAAATTTCATTTAAAATGGCCGATGGTGTTATTCAAATTAAAAATACATAGAAGAAATTAAAATGTCTTCACTATTTCATAATGTCCAATCATTGGGACACAAATAACCTTCCTTTACAGAGATGACTTTTTATTAGAGGCTATGCCTCAGTAAAATTATATAAAACATTATATACTGTCCATTACATAAATGTCTTCTGGTGATAAGTCAACAATTAAAAAGACATAATTTCAATTAACATGGCTGTTTTCCATGATCTTACAGAGGTACAGCATCAAACAAAAGGTTTTCTGTGTAAAGGAAACTATATTCCTAGTGATCGGACATTATGGAAGTGTGAAGAAGATAGTTTTTTTTTTTCATGTAATTTTAATTTCATTCTTATTATTCAAACTGAACAAAGCACTTCATTCTAGAAATCCAAAGGACAATTTATTAAGCATTTCTGACTTTTCTCATTATCAAAACTCAAAATTAAAACACAATATTTTTGGCATAAGAATAAAAAGTTTATTCTTATTGCCAAAAATATTTGTCCATAAAACAGGAAAATAAATTAAATTGTCCTTTTAAAGTTTTTAGTTAAATGTTAAAGACTTGATTTAATTTTTTTTTACCATTGTAATTCAAATTATTTTATTATACAATTTTTTAAATTACATTATGTTATATTTTCTTATATAACAAAAGACTGATTTATAAAACTAATGTTTTGGTAATTTGATTTGTAACACTAAACAAAGTGTTCAGATAGTTGATCATTATTTGGCATTAATATTCTTAATACAGTAGAGTGTTGTTTATCTGAATCAATTGGGGACTGGGGTTGTTTGGATAACTTATTTTTCGGATAACCGATTATGTATGAAAAAATATATTAACCTATCCCACGTTGAAATTTTTCTCCATTGCGTGTCGCTTCTCATAGAATTTTCGTCGTAGTTAAGCCTAATGTAAACTTTTTAAAATAATAATCGTGGCTATTGTATCGTTAAAAATTATTTCTTTATTTTTTACAAACAAAATAAATATATTGAAAAATATAAAAAACCAAAAAACTATACTTTAGAACAGTGATTCTCAAACTTTTTCGATCCACCGCCCCCTTTGTTCCATAAAGTTATACCCAACTCCCCCTAACCCATTTTCTCTTGTATGAGAAAAGGATTGGAAATATTCTTAGGAAAACTTTTCTATGAATCTCACACTTTGTGCCCTTACTGTACATTGTTCTCATCATCTGGAAACCATTAAATGCAATGTTTCCTCTTATCAGCCCCAATTTTGCCTTTGGTCACCGTTCAATACCCTGCCTCTATCATAGATCTATTCATCGCGCCAGAAGGGGGCGTTATTGCTTACTTTGAGAAACGCTGAGCTAAAATAAAAGTCAATGTGTTAGAAATATTCAAGTTGTGACCTTCAATAAAAAATAAAAAATATATAAAATGTCAACATTTTATATATATTCCGTCGAATTTTTATATATAGAATTTGTCTGCCGTCGCCCCTCTATATTTCCTTAACGCCCCCCAATTCTCTTTGAGCCTTCTACTGCCCCCCTGAAAGCCTCCAGCGCCCACAAGGGGGCGTTATCGCCCACTTTGAGAAACGCTGCTTTAGAAGTTGATCTAGTATCAAAAATGTTCGATTCAGCACTACACACAGTCCTCAGAAAAACACCAGACAAAACTGCCAGTGCTGCCAGCTAAAACACACACACACCAACAAAAGAACATTGGAGTAGCCAAAGATATAGCCAAAGATTGCAGTGCCACAGCACTAGCGAAAATTTAAATTTGCCGACTGGAATGCTTTTGGTTAACCGACTTTCGGATAAACGACGCTCTACTGTATTTATTTTAAAATATTTAATGAGGAAAATAATTGTAGTAATGAAGGAAAGTAATTGAAAATTAAGATATAAATATAACTAAAGCCCAATTTTTAGAAAGATATATGTAAAATTGTAAAAAATATCATTATTAAATTTAAATTTTGAAATATTTAATATCATTAATAAGTAAACTTTTAAAAAATTGCAATAGTATTTAACTTCAAGAACTATAATTTGAACAATTCTAAATTTTCAGGACTAAATGTAAAAATAACAGAATTTAATTTTAGAATAAAGTTTTAAAATTCAGGTATATGCTAATTTTTTAAACTAATGCATAAAATAATAATATAAAGCAAAAACTAGCAATGTCAAATACATTATGTATTTTATCATTACATAAAGAATTATATCATTTAGTATATATATTATCTTTTAAAAAGTATAGAAATGTATAAATTCAGTTTTCTGGAATGATATATAAATAAGTAAGTAAAGTTTTCTGGAATGAAGATAAATAAGTATTGTTATATTTCTATTGAAAAAAATACTTGAAGATCAAAATATAGCTAATATTTGAATGCTTGAATATATATGCTTCCATCATAAGTATATTATTATTTTCAATAAACTTATTAAAAAAGAAAAATTTATAAAACACTAAAGATTAGCAATTATTAAATTACAAAAGTATATTTTATATAAACAGATAATACAGTTTTATATCTGAATATGAATTTTATATATTAAATTTATATGCTTTGTAAAATGCAAAAGAAAAATTGGTAAATTTCTTAAATTTCAAATGCTTTGAAAATTTTAAAATAATCAGTTAAGAGATTAATTTTAAAATTTTAGGATAAAAATATCACACAAACACACACACAAAATATATATAAATATATAAAAATATATTTATATACAATATATAGTATGTTTTACCTTTTCTGTCTGCCAAAAGCAAGCAGGCAGAATAATGAAGAAAGTTTTCAATTAAAATCATATTAAATATATAAAATGTAAATGCATTTGAATAATTGTATCATTTAAAAATTGTTATGCAATTTACCGTTGCTGCAATTCTTTCTTTTTCATTTCTCTTTCTTTTATAGCTGCTTCAAACTTTTCACGTCGTTCAATTCTCTGGAAAAAAAAAAATAGTACAGTGATTTAGTATATTTCATTTATTAATTTATAACTTATTGTTTTTTAAGAATTAACAATTTTTTATTATCAGAGATACTTTCTTAAGATTATAAATATGAATTTAATAATACTTTGTTTATATATTTTTATATTTTATTCAAGTAAGATATATATTTACTAGTTTCTTCTGTAATGTGGTTTTATACAATAAACACATTTTTCAACATCTTATCTTTCAAGACAAGTGTTTTATAGTCTACTTGTTTGTTATGAATCTTGAGAATTATAATCATAATTTTCAAAAGATATACATAATTTTAATTTTAACCCTCCAATAAAAATATTTTGATTGTCAGTGGCTTTATGCAATTAAATTTTATTACAAACTAGCTACATTTAATCTAAATTTAAGTGTAAAATTAAAAAAAACTAATTACATTTTGAAAGTAAACTTAACACTAATATTGAGAAATTGTAAATTCCATTTAACTTTCTTTTTAAAAAATTTCAATGATCTCTCTCTTACTTGATAGTTGATAAAAATATACAGTGGTACCTCAGGATACAAATGCCCCAGGATACGACATGAAATTCGAACATATTTTTGTTCCACGAAACGAACAAAAACTCACCCTACGACGTTACATTAGTTCGCAGCGCCATTTTTTATTCACTTCTGTTCATCAATCTCAGTCCCGTGTTTGCTTTGTCGTGGAAGGATCTCGCTCGATAAAGGAAATCTTGAGGTATTATCAGAAAGTGACTGATTTTATTGAAAAACATCCCGAAAAGATTCACACTGGCCGTATTGCTGCTCAGAGTAACGACATTTGCCTAAGTCATTTTAGAAACATTTTAAAAAGTAGGCAAAGCCAAACCTCTTTTGATACATATTTTACCAAGTGACCTCTATCTGGTGGAAGTGAAGGAAAAAAAGCAAAAAGCAGTAAATAAAAATAAAAATTATATATATATATATAAAACAACACTAATTTTTTTAAAATCTTTTCTAAGTTATTTTTAAGTTATTGTTACATTATGTTATGTAAGTTAAGTTTTAGTATCATTTCCCTTCTCCCTCTCCTCCGCCACCAGTTTACACCTCCACCGTTGTCTATCCTCAAAAGTAAAGTGCAAATAAAATTACATTTTTTTAAAATCAATTATCATTCTATTATGGTTATTTATACATTTACAACTACAAAACACATTTTTCAGTGTTTTCCTTACTATAATTATTATTATTTTTTTAATGTACTACTTACAAGGAGACCCTACAGCTTTGGGGAAATGGATTTTGATGATCTTTGGTGTAGAGATAGTACACCATGTGAGTGTACTACCTGTAAAATACTAAAGTGCAATACACAAATACAATCGAGAAAAACGAACTTAAAGTTCTGTGTGTAGCGTCTTTGTAATCCAAACGTTAATTTTGGTAGACGATCGAACCGATCAACTGATAATTATTGATAATAATAATTTAAAACAGAAAACTATTGAACAAATTAATAACATATATTACATCAAATTAAACAACAACCCATACGAAGATATAAAAAAGGATCTAACAAATATGGTCAAAAACATGTACCTTAATAATAATATAAGTGAAAACAATAAAAATTATATCCTTAATTTCAAAAACAATAGAACCCCCAAACTAAATATAAGATTAAAAACCCACAAAAAAGAAGAAAAATTCAGACCTTTAGTAGATTTTAGTACTACTAGTGTTCAGTCTTAGGGTCAGAGTCCACTTCCTAGAACAACTGTGGGTGATACTCTCACCACCTGACTTCGGTTTGCCTGTTTGTAGTGAGAGTCACCATTTTGTATTTTATTTTGACTCAGTTCTCGGTCCCGAGTACCTAAAAGTCTGGTTTTTTTATGCGTGCATGATTTGGGCACCTAATACTCTGTGCCAAATTGCAACTCCTGACATGTACTCCTTCATATCTTTAAGCTGGTAAACAGCAGGCAGTACAATTTTATAAACAAGACATAGTCTTGTCAATAAACTTCTTGTGTTCTAACAGCCACATTATTTTCTTGATCTAGCTCAGCAGATTCTTCTCTTTTCAAAATTATAGTAGTATCTGATGGCAAAAGCATATTGAAGGAAGTGCATTGTATATTATAATATTTTTCCCCTCCCACAATAAAACTATTGTTTGTATTTTTCTAATTTTTTAAAAAATATTGCTGTAATCTAAAAATATTGTTATAGAGGAAGTCGAGAGAACACTAGCACCAATTTTCCAGCCTGTATCATCTTGAACAAAATGTCGTACCCCCTATGCTTCTGCTGCCTGATGACAACTCCCAGTTGCAGAACCACCAAGAAGAAAAACAGACTTGCGGAGAACTGAAGATAATTACCCAGTTTGTTTCCATTGTGGACATCCAGGATATGTTGTACATTATTGTTGAGAATAGAGGCAATTTTTTGATGCTTATCATGCTAATAGAGAAATGCAAGCTGAATAGTAGTCCAGTCAACCTTTCACTGAAGACTATGCTCACCAAACGGGGTCTCAAAGTTTCTCACTGTATGTTGGGGAGGAGAGAGGACATTCACCGACCTGCCAATGCATTCGATCGCCATCACCATATCGATATCCTAGTCAATCTCCCAGTCGCAGGGCAGAGGAAAACTAAGCAGAGCGACCTTCCTTGGAGGTAAGGCCACTCGCAAAGAAAATCCTCCCCAGATGTTGCGGAATTATGTGGACATTAGTATAGATAATCAACCTGTGTGTGCCCTCATCAATTCTGGAGTGTCTTTCTCTGTAATCTCCAAGGCATATCATCAGCAATTGCGGAAAACCATGCTTGCCGATATAAAGGGCATCATACTGAAGGTTGCAGATGGAAATTACATACATGCAGCCAAAAAGTGTGTAGTTTGAATTAACATAAATGGCCGTACGAACCATTTGAGTTTGTAGTTTTGCAGCACTCAGTCATAATGTTATCCTCGGTTGGGATTTCATGGAAGCATCTCAAGCCGTGATAGATTGTGATCATTCTGCCCTTCTCTTGGAAGAAGAACCTCAAAAAGATGGGAAGGAGACAGAAATCCTAACTAAATCTTTCCGCTTATACACTTATGAGGCCCAAGAAATAGCTAGATTCCTTGTCAACGAAATCCTGTTGAAGCAATATCATTTACATATGATGACAATGCCCTCATGCTATAAAATCATGAGCTCTCATGTTAAGGGGCAGTTTTTCTTGTACTATGGGTGAATAAACATCCCTTTGTGTTTACTAAAGACTTGTTATTGCGGTTCACCATTCATCTACGCAACAATATACTAAATGCAAATCTTATAAAGATAAAAATTAAAAGTTTTAAATTTAAGAATTAATACTAGTATTTACATTATTTTTTGAATATATTATGAAATTACTTACCCTAGCCTTTTGTGCCAATTTTAATTCTTGTTTTTTATGACTCCTCTGATATCCTGTTATAATCCGCCTCAATCGCGTATTTAAATCAGTTGGTGATGGAAATGGTAATTTTCCAATTTCATAATCTTAAAAGAAAAATTACAGTTACTGAAACATTGAAATAATGTTTTTAATTACAAAACATACAAAATACTTTTATTAAAAATACATCCTATTCATCTTCAACTGTAGTTTTAAAACTATTTCATCATCAAATAAATATTTGAAGAATTTATAAAATTTATTTTTTTATTTCATTATATGAAATTTATTTCATGTAATTACATGAAATAAAAAAGTACGAATTTGGAAAAGTTCTTAAAAACTTATAAAATACAATAATTAATGCTTAAAATAATCTTATTGGTAAGAAATTGAAAGGTAGCACTACAATCTCCCTAATGGTTCTAAGCAACTGGCAGATTGTAGTCTAAATCCAGACCATATGATGGTTTTCACCTGACTGCAAACCAATTGCAAGTTTCCAAACTGTCCTGTTTTTTCATTTAGCTTTCTTCCACACGAAATGTAAGTATAGGAGCAATACAAGATCAATGTCATTTGGAACAATGCATCCAAATCACATCATATAAACCAGATTTCACAGCAATAGTTAGAGAAAGAAGTGCAATTTCACTCATTAATTATAAAGAATAAATTGACTTAATAAATAGATAGCAGCTTGTATATCTGTGAGACAGCAGTTTGACCAACAAATCCTCTCTCTTTCCACCAGTTTAACAGATGAGAGAATATGATCTGGATCAGCAGTATGCTTGCCAGTTCTGTATTTAGACCTTGCCACAAATTAGTGAATAGGGCTGCCCTAAAGGATCTCAAGCATAGTCAATACAGAATGTGGACATCAATAAACTCTTGCAATTTCTGCCATTTGGCAAAAGAATTTACGTATCCATAAAATAATTATTAAAAAATGTTACTTTAAAATCATGACACGGTTTATAAAAGTTATTTCTTATCTTTCTTTCCTGTTAAATAATTGTTCAACTATTTACAATTCTTGCTAGCCTTGTATTTAACAAATTTTATCAGATATGACATTAATTATCCTCATAAGAGAAATCATCCTTGGATAACCTATATAACCTATATAAATTTAAATGATAATTTGATATAATTTAAATATTGAAATGATGGAAGTATCAAAAATTCAGTTACTTCAATTAACATAATTATGATCTAATCATTTCACTTAAACATCACATTGGATCAAAATGAAAAAAAAAATTCTGAACAAAAATAGAGAGATGTAAAAACTGTACTGATTGATTCCTTGCAATTCAGCATTTAAATGTTTTACAATACAAACAATTAGTTAAACTAATGATTATTTCATAAATTTCTCATTAAAAATAATTACTTTAACCATTGAAACATCTAAAAATTTTCATATATCACTTACTTGTATCTTGAGCATTGAAGGAAGATACTTCTTCAGATCCAGAAAATTTTGATGGAAGACTGTCATTTGTAGAAACGGCAGGAGATTCGGGAAATTCTTCTTCCATTTCTTTCTCAAATTTGAAGTCATTTAAATATTTATTGGATGGTGGATCATCTAAATAATCATCCATTCTATAAAAAAAATTATTATTTTTATTTTTAATAGTCTTCAACATTTTCAATCTTAATTATAATCTAAAAAAACATTAAATTATTTTCAATTTTATTTAATTCTTACACACCAAAAAACAATACTGAAAAAAACACATTTTAATCCCTTATATTTAAAGCTTAAAATAGAGGAAATTTTCTAATTAACAAGTTTGAGGAAATCAATATTTTGAGTGTTTGATATAAGGAGAATCCTATGTATGGAGAATAACAACAAATAATCAGTTGATTTAAAATTGTATAATACATTTATAAACAAACTTTCTAATAAAGCAGGAAGAAACTAAGAATGTATGTTACTTGTTTAATTTCTTCACACTTCCATTATAAACCATTTATAATGGCACAGCAGGCTATTGTACTACACATGTTACAATGTTGCCAGAAATCAGCTAAGGTTCATGCAAACACCAAGAAGTTGCAAAGAAACCTATTTTGTTGCAAAGGAAAGCTAACCCTAAAATTTCAGCTTTTAATATCAGAAATCTGAAGATAAGGGATAAAAATTTGGAAATAAGTGTTTTTAATAGCAAAAATATTGTAACATTAATATAAAAAAAACTATTAAAAATTTTCCCCAGATGACAAGAAACTTTGGGATTTGGCAATTTGGCCTGTATCTATTTGAAACCACCTATAATTGTTGAAAATACTGATGCTTGTAACTGGAACTACAGTTCTCAGCCTCTTCTCAAATGGGTATTTTCAATACAGTTTCGCTTCAACATTGATAGTAGGAGTTTGAAATAAAGGAAATTTTACCAGAAAATTTTGAAGTTTGTTCATTATACAGCATACTAAATCCCATAAGTTTGTAATACTGCATTTTCTGGGGATTGTCAGTTGTTCACTGTAGAGAGAAGTTCACTATAGGAAGAATTTGGAGTTAGAGAATTTCCTGTATAAATGTCTAAAAATCTAGTGTAATTTTTTGAAAGTGATTTTTTAATCACAATTATATATAGTATACTGTCTATAAAATGATTTTTTTGAATTATTAACATATTAATCAAAATTCATAGAAAGTGATATTTAAATAAACATATAAGCTTAACATTTAGTAAATACATTGAATCAAAATGTTAACTATTTTAATATGCAGCAGAAAAAAATAAATAGATTAAATTTATCTTAAATTTCACTAAAATTGACAGAACACATAAGCAGTGTTAAGAGAATACTTGATTAAAAGCTTACACATTCAGTTCAGCTAGAAGAGCTGCATGATCTGGTGGACCACATCTTGCTAAGAAACACAATGAAGGATCATGTCTCATTACATTATAACGTTCATAACCTAAAAATTTCAAAAAACAAAAATGTATTAATTTAATTATAATGGAAAAATTAATTGTGTCATTAAGAAATTTTGGCAGTTTTTACCATGTTTATAAACTCCAATCAAGAGAGATTTATCAGCTTCTGGATCCCACCAGATGGCAGGTGGCTCTCCATCAGCACATGGTGAAGGTAAATGTATCTCTCTATAGATAAATTAGAAGTAAAAATAAAAAAATTAAAATAGTTATTTCTAGTGTATTTGCTCTGAATATAAATACCTAATCATCATTGAAATATGCATTATTATTGAATGTAATTATTTTACACAAATTATATTAAAAAACAACAACAAATTTAGTAGCTCAGTTATATTCATTAATAATGTATATTTCAACCATGATTAAATACAGTAGTACCTCAAAATACAAACGCTTCAGCATACGAAATTTTCAGGATACGACATGAAATTAGAACATATTTTTGCTCCACGGTACAAATAAAAACTCACCATATGACGTTACATTAGTTCGCAGCGCCACCGCCATGATCACGTGTTCTTCTGTTCATCGGTCTCAGTCCACATGTTTGCTTCATCATGGAAGGATCTCGCTTGATAAAGGAAATCTTGAGGTAATATCAGAAAGTGACCAATTTTATTGAAAAGAAACATCCTGAAAAGATTCACACTGGCCATATTGCTGCTCAGTTTAATGATATTTGCCTAAGTCATTTTAGAAACATTTTAAAAAGTAGGCAAAGCCAAACCTCTTTGGAAAGATATTTTACTAAGCGACCTCTATCCAGTGAAAGTGCTGGAGGAAGTGAAGGAAGCAGTGAAAAAGCAGTGAATAAAAATTAAAAAAATATATATGTATAAAACAACACTAATTTTTTTTATCTTTTCTAAGTTATTTTTAAGTTATTGTTACATTATGTTATGTAAGTTAAGTTTTAGTATCATTTCCCTTCTCCCTCTCCTCCACCACCAGTTTACACCTCTACCATCATCTATCCTCAAAGGTAAAGTGCAAATAAAACTACATTTTTTTTTTTAACCAATTATTATTTTATTATGGTTATTTATACATTTACAACTACAAAATGCATTTTTCAGTGTTTTCCTTACTAAAGTTATTTTTTTTCAATGTACTACTTAACTTTAATTTGAGTGTTTTTCATGTTGGAATGGATTATTTGGTTTTACATGTAATCATATGGGAAAAAATGATTCACCTTACGACATATTCATGATATGATCTCAGTTTAGGAATGGATTAATTTCGTATCCTGAGGTACAGTACTACTGTATTTAAATCCAGAGTAATTATTTATAGTGCAATATATAACTATTTTAAAATAATATAATTATATTAATATACATTTAAACAAATACAATATATAACTAGTTTTATATATTATATAAAAATCTAGAAACTTCCTCTTCCTGTTCAAATATACATTCAGTGTTGTATTTAGGTAACATTCTCATTCTTGGTTATTTGCTTTATATGGTCATTAAATTTACCAAAATCAAAGTGCCCATTCAAGTATTTGGCTAACTATTTTTTGCAAACTACATGTCACTTATAGCAATAATCTAAACTAGTCATATTACATGAACATGGCTCAGTAATTATAATGAATTTTCATTATGATGATCTGTCCAATTTATCACTATTAATATTAACACAGTTATTTAGATCACCAAAATAACTTATTCATTTTAATATCATTGAAACCACAGTGGTATCTCATATTTTGAACATTTAACTTTGAATACTTCATAATTTGAACATTAAATTCAACAGAAATTTGGTCCAGTTCAAAAGATGCTTCAAAGTTTGAACCACATGCACAGTGAAAAAATGCATTCAAAGCATAAATTCCATCTGTTGTGTACCCAAGTCATCTCTCACTTTCACTCCTGTGTTACATTCATATATTTTCAATGCTTTTTTTGCCTTATTTTTGGTGTGTTAGGTTATATATATTGTTAATCATCAACTTTTAACAATTTCTTCCTGCAATCTTTTTTTGAGTGCTCTGTACATTTTGTATCCTTTAGTTCAAAATTTCCCAAACAGAACTTTTTAAACTACATTTAATATGTTTGAAGTTTAGGAGCCTCTTCCCCATATGCATTACAAAGTTTTACTGTTTGTAGGACATTATATCCTTTTCAAAACTCAAATCATAATATGCTTGATATGCTTTTTATCTGAAGAAGTTTCAACTTGATTTTATTCAAACAAAATAAGAAGTATAAAATAAGCTTATAAACAAAGAATACAACCTCACATTAGCAATAATGTGTTAAATTTTACAACTGTTTTAATTAAATCACAGAGCTATGTTAAGCAAAGATAACAGTTAAAAATATGCAAAAATTATTTGACCCAATATAATGTTTATATATTTTCAATGGCATCTGAGAAGTGTGTGGAAGCAATATAGCCTAAATGGAAGTACTAATGATTGAAATGATAATGGAACCTGTTGTGAAGCAAGAAATGGAATACACAGTGAATCTGGTGGTCATGTTTAAGATACTGAAGTCAATAATGTGCAGCCTTTAAATGCAATTTTCATTTTATTGTATAGTATTTACATATTTTATTTATTGTTTCATGTTTTAATGTATTATTAGGACATTTAATTGTGCTATTTTTACCTTAAATTATTTAAACTTGCTGTTTTAACTTTATTGAAATAGGGTCCAATTCTGGAATGGAATTCACTTTCAATTATTTCTGATGAGAAAAATTGATTTGGACTCTGAATAGCCTTTTGAAATAAATTAAATTCAAAACATGAGGAACCACTGTATTTTGTGCAATCCAAGTTTTATTAACCAATTTTCTGATCTTGGAAGAGTTTGCCCCTCTTTTGGACAGTTTGTCTGATCACATGACAGCCAACAAGGTTACTTTTATTTCAACATTAAACTAGTAAATTTAATTTTTATTGTTTATCTGAATTTTATATTTTGTGTTAATTTTCATGATAACTTCCTTTCTTTTTAAATAAAAATATCCATAATTTATAATGTGAATTCTTCATGATAAAAGGAGTTGTTAACACAGCTAGCAAAAATTTTCTTGAAGAAATTTTTTTAAGTATATTTATGAAAGACATCTCTAAGATTTAGATAATGGTGATAAATGAGATCTGTTTTACATAGGTTATAAATGCTTTAATTTGCTCAATAGACCAAAATGGTTCCTTTATTACTTAAATATTCTTAAATTTAATATTTTATAGTAATTAAAATTTTGTCATAATATTAAGTTTGTTCAATTATTGATACTTAATTTGTTTTAATGTTAAAAATTTACTAAGTTCTTGCTTACGTTGCAGGAATTCCAGCACAAACTTGATCATGAAGATCTCCAATAACTTCATGTTTCAAGTAATAGAGAAGTCTCACTCTAAGCAATACTCTGTAAAAATGTATATTTTATAAGTATTATCTGTGATTTTATTTTTATTTATATTATATTTATCAATTTAAATAATATATACTTATTTGAATGCCTCTGTAAATGTCTCTTATAGGTTTCATCAGTCAGTAAAAAATCGGGATTGTTCTTTTCATTTCTGATCCACATACTCCATTCTTCTGACAAATTATAAAATGGTTTTATTTCTTTTTTTAATTTCCTGCCTTTTCGTCCCCTAGGCACAGGAGCCGATAAGCCTAACAAAATTTATTAGTAAATAAATTATTAAAATGAACTACTCTAAATTCACATTGACTCACTATATATCGATAACTTATGTATACCAGAATGATTTTTATGTACACGAGTTTCACCATCAGCAGTTGGAGTAATAAGATCCCAAATGAATCCTTTAATTTTTTCATCTCCTTTGTAATGTTGCAAACAATATAACAACTAAAACGAATAAAATATTTGACAAGATTATTTTGGCAAACTTTAATTTTGTTTATCATTATAATAGTAGATTTAAATCTTAATTTTATATAATTTAATGAATAAATAAATAAAGATTTGAAATGTATTACTATCTGCATAATACATGTCCATCTGTAAACTCCGAACAATTCTTCTATCATACTTAAAACATCCACAAAAACACGAAGAATGTGTTATTAATTATATGTATTGCATCATTTTTCTTTTGATAAAAAATTTTACATTTAGAGTAAAGATGTTTTGAGGAAAAGTGTGATAAATTGTAAAGTAAAAGGCCTTGTTATATGGTAATAAAGTTATAAGCAAAATTACAGGAAAAGTTAAAATGTAATATATAGTAAGATTAGATGAAATTATATCAAGAAATATATATTTTTTACATTAAAAAATTTATAAATTTTCTTGAAATAAATTAAAAACAATATTATGTTTATAATTATTTGTATTTTATAAACAATAAATAACTATCTTATATTTCTATATCAAAAATTATGTTTTGTATCAATTTTTACTAATTAAACATGTGAATGTATACAGTATTTTAAATATGTTGAGATGTAAAGATTAGAAATTAACTGTATGAAAATGAATGAAATAAACTTACAATAACTCTTGATATTTCTTCAACATCTTTTATAGTAAAAGATCTTTTGAAACAACCCATTGCTAGACATTCTTCCCATCTTCCCCATCTAAAAGAAAATTATTTTGATTTATATTTAGTAATTATATGTAAGTTTAAAAATATATAAATAATTTAATTTATATAATAATTTTAAAATACAATAACATTTAATTTTACAACAATTTTTATTAAAACATATTGGTATATGTTAGGGAAAAAATAATTATCAGGGCTGTGGAGTCGGAGCCAGAGTCGTGGAGTTTTGATGTTTTAGCTGGAGTCGGAGTCGTGAAGTTTTGGTATTTCAGCCAGAGTCAAAGTCGGATGATAAGGAAAAGTTGGAGTCGGTAGATTTTTACGTGACTCCACAGCCCTGATAATTATACTAAACTAAAGTACGTGTCAATACATCAAACTGTCTGTGAACTGGTAACACTGAGCAAGACTGTCGAAACAAGAAGAGACCTGTTTTCAGTTGCACGCCAAGTTATGGATGAGTGAACAAGTTCATGTATAGTCTTAGATTAGAATAAAGTTTAATTCTAGGTTAAAGGACTGCCTCAATGTTGTTCTAACAGTATATAACTCCATAACTTAAATGCATAGTTTTATATTCTTGAAGTCACAACTAACTTCATAAATTATCCATTTAAGAATAATATTGAATGTATAGAAAACTTCTGAAAATAATATCTTCAAAATAAATTCTCAATACTTTCATCCGTTGACTCATTCATACTAATGCAAAATATGAATAAATTACAAACAAGAGAAAGAATAAAATAAGAATTAATTAAAATTTTTTTGTTATATGAATATTGATAACATTTAATTTATTGACTCTCCAGATAAACTGACTAAGTCCTAGAGTGTTGCTAGCAACCAGGTAGAGAAACCATTCTAACACACATTTTCTGAGAATTTTTAAAATACGTGAAATTTCTAAAAATATAACTGAATATTTTGGCACATATAACAAGAATATCTTAAGCTAGTAAAATTATTATTAAATAAAACAATTTCAGCAAATTCAAAATGTGTGTAGAAGGTAATTAAGTTATAATTCATTATTTATATTAATTTAAAAATTGAACTAAAAAGTGTATCTTGAACTGATGATCAGCACTCACTATTAATGAATGCAAAGGTGTATGTAAAGATATCATTTCTAGAAAGGAAAGAAATTTTTAAAGCTAAACAGATATAAGTTAAACTGATCATTCTGTTATTATGAGAATTTGGATAAAATATAAACATTCATTCATTTTTATTATTATATTTTTTATTTCGTTAAATCTGATCAAGAGTATTTTGAGTATTTTTAAATGTTTTTTGGATTATAAAATTTATTATAGATGATATAATGAATTATGTAATTATATATTACCCAAATGTAAGTAATCCTTTTTCAACTTTAAAGCATTCTCCTCTAGACCAATTTCCAGCAGCTTCGTCAAAACCATCATCAATCTCTCTATCAAATAAACGTCTATTTCTAGACCCTCTGCCTCGAGTAGGACCTGTACGAGAACCACGTCCACGGGCACCCCTTGTACGAGTTGAAATTGATTCGTCATCATCATCACTAGATTCTAATTCAGACAAATCTAACATATGATCATCTGCTCCAAATCTTCTCGTTTGGGTGCGTCGTCTAGGTTCTTGAATTATTAAGTCATTCTAATACAAAACAATTTATAAAAATAAGTAATAATATTTTTTATACTTTATAAATAAATAAAAATATATAATAAAATTAGCCTTTTGAACTGCTGATTTCTTGTAATCAACTTTTATTTACTTGCTAAAAGTTTAATAGAGTAAAACAACAAAAGTATTGCAAATTTTTTTACCTCAATTTTTAATAAACTTTCAAAAATATGATTTATAAACAAAAAACAACAGAATGTCTTAAGTTTTGTTTTTATTCATACTTTGCACATACAAAAGTAAATAGTTAGTTATGCTACCTCTAAATTATAAAAATTATAATTTATTCAATGATGATTCAGGTCATTTTTCACCATTAATATTTTATAAATAAAGGTGCTCTTTTATTCTTCTCTGTACACTGATCCTACATGTTCATGAATAATTGGATAACTCATCTCTCATGAGCATCGAATCAAACTTTGAGTTCCCTTTTCAATGTTAAATTTGTAATTCTTTCAAAGTTTATGTATTATTGCTGTTTTAAAAATGTTTAAAAAAATCTATGGTTTTATTAAATTAATATACTGTGCAATAGTAGTGCTTTTATTTAAGCCACAAGAAAAAAATAAAGAAAACAGTAATATAACTTATGATAGACACTATATGAATGAGTGTAGTTATCTTTTAGCATTGTGCCTGCTTGAACATCCAGTCTGTGCAAGTGCTAACACAAGTTTATATTAGTATGTAAACTCCAGTTTTCCAAAAATTGAAATTATGATTGATAATATTTCTGATCACAAATGATCAAATTCCCAAACACTGAAGATATGGTGCTTGGTTTGGGTGATTCCTTCCTTTGCTAATTTGTTTACTTTTCAATTAGCTTAACTGTCTGACTAAATCAACTTTGACAAAAGGCAACACAAATCTCTTTCAGATTTGTACCTCAGAATTAATCTATAATTACTGTTAATCTTACCGTTTATAAGTTTTTAATAAAACTTATAAACAGTAAGATTAACATTACTCTTAAAAAATTATTATTTTATAAATTTATCAAGAAATCTTCTGTCTAACTTTGGATTATTTGAATTCCTTTTTAAAATCATTAAGCAATGAATCTTTTCCCCTCATATACTTAATTTTGTATTCTATTCAATTCAAAATATGCATATATGAATCCAATTTAAAAAATGTATATTGAATTTGAAACTCCTGATCAGAGTATAACTCAAATATAGAATTTTATACAGGTAATAATATGGAGCCAGAAACTTGTGTGTTTCTGGCTCCAAATGTATAAAATGTTTACTTTCAGGTAGCCAACTGTTTAAATTTTTTCATGAACATTTTTATCTTGTTTTAAGACAGCTTCAGCATCTTAACACATACAACTCCATCAAAAGTGATATAAAGTTCAAATTCAGTTAAAACAATGACTTTTATATGCCCACTATCCAAAAGTAAGCATTTTATAGAAATAATATAACTCTAAAGTATTATTTAGATCTCTCATTACGGTTTTTTTTCATAGTTGTTGAGATAAATATCTTTCTATTACATTAATAAGATGTAAAACATGCGTAACATCCATTCTCAATCAATTTTTAATGACAGCAGAGTAAACAAAATAGTAACATCCATTCCTGTAACAAGATAAAAGAAAAAGCTGTAAGCTTGATCTTGCTACTAGGCAGGTGTAGGAAGATGGCCTAAAAATCAGATTATGATCACTGCTAAACAAAAGCCATCAAGAAATCTTCTTGCAATGCCTTTTTTTTTATGATCCATGATTTTTAACCAGTTTTAAACTGTGGTCAAACCCATCTGTGCAATTTACCCAATGTAAAAAAAGTTTAAAATTTGATTTTTAACATATTTTACTCAAATATCAAATAAATAAAATTACACTGAATAAATATTTATGGATAAAATAATAATGAAAACATATTATTACCCTATTTTTAAGTTCATCCACATCAAGATTTGCTTTTTTAGCCCATTTTTCCCAGAAATTTGGATCATCAATTTCAATATCTGATCTATTATTTGAAGCAGAAAATGTTGCTTTAGCAAATGTTGAACCTTTTCCTTCACCTTCTAATGTGATAACATGAGTTCGACGTTGCAAAATATGATCAATGTCTTCCTCACAAAATTTGTCTCCAGCATTATCATCTTCCATTATAGCACCATAAGCTCCTTTTCTCAGTAGATCTTCAATTTCTTTCTTAGATAACTGTTGTGACTAAATAATTTAACATTTCAATTCATTTCAAATAGTATTGCTTAAATTATAAAACGTAATTTATAAATATCATACCACTCCACCCAGACTGTCTTTTTGAGAATTCATTGATTGAAGAACTGCTCGATCTAATCCAAGTTTTAAACTTGCTTTATCAAACATATCTCTCTCATATGTGTTACGACAAATTAATCTATAAACTTTTACAGCTTTGGACTGTCCAATCCTATGACATCTAGCTTGTGCCTATAAAAAAAAAGTATTATTTTTTAATATTTTATAACATATTTAAACCATAAGAAATTTTTCAATAATTTAAATTTTTGATATATATGTATTAACGTTGAAAAGTACCAATTACATTATTGAATGTATTATACCAATATATACATATCATAATATCAGAAATGTACTGTGTAGGTTCTAGAGAACTTATGAAACCACTAATTCAAATTTTTATGGTATCAGTGAACTCCTTGTTACAAAGTCCAATATTAACATTTACATTAATAATTTTCATTCTGCTGAAAAGAAAGAAATAAAAATTCCCTAGCTTGTGATTTAGTAGTGCACAAAATTGATCCTTGCTAATTGTATCTAAAAAGTTGAAATCAATTATTGTAAAATTAGTCACACAAATTAATAATTGTATTATTAAATATTGTAATCCAGATGTTCTGATCACTGAACAGGTCAGACTGATGAGGCGTTGCACCCTAAATGCATATCTGACAAAAAATTAGTAACAAAATGATTCTGAAACAGTAACAAACTTTGTCCTCATATGATTAGTTCCATACAGTGAACTCACAATTAGTGAATAAAGCTACTCTATTATTAAAAAGAGATAAACCACTGAAAGAAGAAATGAACCAAAGTAGATCTGAGAAATCTGATTCTTTTATGTAAATAGATTCCTAAGATTCTTTTCAATGGATAAATCAATTCCTTAGCCATTCAAGTAAATAATTTTCTGACCTCCAATTCCTCAGTCCTCTTACAAACTATATTCATGATCAGTACTTAAAAATACTATAATAATTTATTTCTGCTCATAAAAGGAATAGGTATATTTTTATATACATCCTCACCTTATATAAGTGTTATTAAAAACAAATTAAGTATATTATTCATTAAAGTTTTGTTATCAGAAAAGAAATCATCATTATGTCTTTAAAGTGTGTTTAAAATATAAATAATTTCATATAATTTTATTTAATAATATATATAGCACATTTATTTGAATTTACATTGCACTTACTTGTAAATCATTTTGAGGATTCCAATCAGAATCAAAAATAATAACAGTATCTGCAGCTGTAAGATTTATTCCCAATCCTCCTGCTCTTGTACACAGTAAAAATACAAATCTGTCAGAATCTAGTAAAGAAACATTTTTTTATTATATATTATTTAAGATTTATGTAATTTAATTTAAATATTTTAAAAACTATTTCTTATGCTATTAAAACCAAATTATGTTTAGATTACAAAATAACTTGTAATCAAAAGTATATATTATTAGAATATTGCATACTAAATTCACAGTCAAGGAATTTTTTTTATTAAAATGAAAACTGTGATTAACAAATTCAAATGTTAAAAAATTTAAAAAATAAATTAGTGGATTCTATTACACATAAATTTTCAATTATTCAATGAAATCTTATCATGCATACACACAATAGAAATTATTTTAAATGAGTATATATACCGTACAGTACATTCTTTCTATATACAGTATATCTATATAGGGGAGAAGAGAGAGGAATGGAACACCTGAATTTTCTGATCTCCTATTTATTTATTGTAATTCTTTATTTGTCTCCAAGTGAGAGTGACAGCACTTGCATTTTCTTATAAAATGGGTGATGAATTGTTTCAACAGAAAAGGCTTTAGAAAAGAAAATTACATTACAATGCTCCAGGTAAATATTAATACAATATCTGATGTAATCTAAAATTTTATGTTTAAGATAACTTTTAATGCTTAATACAAGAATTGAAAGCAATATTTTAACCCTTCCCACATCGCGTAACTTAGCGACCGCAGAGTCTCACAGAATCCATTTTTTTTTCTAAAATTGTAAAATTATTGGCTTCGCTTCAAAAATTATAATTACATCTTTGTTTTCGCAATTTTCTCTACTTTCGAACAGTGTAAAATATTTTTATATTGGCACAAATGCTTTATTTGCATCGAATTTAATGTAATTTGATACGAAAAACGCAAAAAATAAACATATCAAGTTTCAACTCGCTGTAATTTATCTCCTGTTTCACCGATTGCTATCGGGTTTGTTTGTAAATGGGGAAGAAATATTACACTTTCAAGTGAAGTGAGTAGAATTTTCTCACTACTGCGAGAAAATTTGTCATCAGACCCCGCGTTACCCCCTACCGCGAAAGTCAATAAACGTTAATTGTTTTATGACTCTATTTTCAACACTTCTCTTCTGAGTTGTAAATCGACTAATTGACAAAGTTTTTACTTTATTTTACTCATAAAAATGTTTTTTTCAATATTTAACAGATAGTTTTCTTAGATCTTTACATATTAATTTTATTTTCAATTTTTAATGTGATATAGTCGTGTGTTAGGCTTAAATCGATCACCAAATATAAAAATGGACATCGCTCAAAATATTACAGAATCCATCAAAATTTCTTGCTGATAGTTTAGATATAAATGTTTTCTGTGCATGAAATGAAGCAACCAAAAAAATACAGGGTGGACCATCAAAAATTCGGCAATTTACGACATGATGTCGAAGGCGTAAATTCTTTTATTTATAACTAAAAATATTCTCGAAATTTAATCAAAAAAATGCATTTGCATCAATACCTAAATGAAATAGTTATGCAAGAAACAAAAATTGTACAATTAGCGCAATTTGTTTTAGGGTAATTAATTTTTAAAATTTTTGTCGCTGTTATTTATCGCGTGGACAAACGCGATTTCTCGCAGAGTATAAGACTTCGCTGAGTGTAATAATAAATTCCGATATCTCGCTTTAAAATCGGGCTAGAATCGCCCATTTTCATTATTTTTGTTGCAAATGTCTGACAGTTTACGATTATTAAATGTAATTAAAATTTAAGTATTTTTAAAATTTTTAATTTTTTAGGAAAAGGGTAAAAATTTTAAAAACTTAACGTTCTATTTAATTTGAAACATTTGTTAGCTACATATATTTTCTTATCTTTCGAACAAAAGAAGTCAGAAGGTTCTAAGTCCATTAGTTCTCCCCTTACAAAAAGCAATTGAGACCCCACTGTGTTTATGACCTTGTCAGAGACTTTTAAATTTAAAAGGGGTGTGGCGTTTTTGTTTACATCTACTATCTTCACTTAGTTTTATTGCTTTGATAGTTAAAAACACGGAATAACGGCTTATGTGAATGCGTTGGTGTATTAAATTTATGCGATATAAACAAACAACCCAAATAAAAAAAGTTAACAAAATTTATTTAAATCGTTTACGTGAAACAAACTAATGATACAAAAAATATAAAATGATAAAAATCAAGTATATACAAGAAACATCGTCTATAACTACTAATACAAAAATATAAAAGGAAGAAATATTAAAATATATACATAACATGAAAAGTACTGTACAATCATTAGCAATATTTTCAACACAGGAACTGCATTGAAGAAAACTAAACAGAAATTCATTTCTCTTCACTGCAGTTTTTGCACATAGGTGTTACATGTGACAAACATAAAAATTTTTTACATTTTTTACATTTATACTTTGTATATCTATTTTTTTTCCTTCCACATTCTGCACATCTTCCTCTCTTTTTCTGTTCTTCTACAGAAGTTTCAGATGTGCTGGGTGACGGACATATCCTTTCGGCGCTTTCTCTTATATCTTTTGGAAGGCAGTGCATATGTTTTCTTCTTTCAATTTGTTCCAACATTAGTTCTATTGCTAACTGTTTTAAGAAATCTTTCCTGCTTATATCTTTTGTTGTGTTCTTATTACTGTGGTGTATAATGTGTGCATTAACACCTGCAATATTTAAAAAACAATAAAAAATTACCATTGTCCACCTTCTCGTGTTTCTTTGAACGTTATAATTTGCAGTTAATTGGTCTAACGTATCGACTCCTCCTTTTGTCAAATTATAAAAGGTAACTATTTCCGGTTTTTTACGATCACCTGTAGTATCATCAATAGTGTCGTTATGATGAAAAGAGGACAAAAGCAAGACATTCTTGTTTTTTTTTGGTACATAGGAGACTAAGGTTAAATCCTTGGAAAATCCAAATAGGCTACTACAGACTTTTCTACCTCTTACATCTGTAAATTCAAGAGGGAGTTCTCGTTTGTTTTTCCTTATTGTTCCTACCATTGTAATTCTGTCCCGTAACAAATCTGAGAATAAGCTATAACTGGTAAACCAATTATCCACTGTCAAATTCCTCCCTGATTTCGTTATAGGATTTATTAATCGTTTTACGACTTGATCTGGTGAATTCGAAATCGAATATGGGCCCTCTGGCTGTTTTCCGCAGTAGATTTCGAAATTATAAGTGTAATACATTCTTGCGTCCGCTAACACATAAATTTTAATGCCATATCTCTGAGGTTTCTTGGGCATATATTGTCGAAATCCGCATCGTCCCCTAAATCCTTCTAATTTCTCGTCTATAGTACAATATTCCGATATAGAATAATTTTTCTGGCAAGATTTTACAAATATGTCCACCATATCCCTCACTGCAGCCAACTTGTCAGTTTTAATTCGCTCTTTTCTTAAATTTTTATCGTCGAATCGTAAATTGCACAGTAAAAACTTAAATCTTTTTTCACTCATTACGATTCTAACAATTTCTAGGCCAGTTCCATCCATTGTCCACAATTCATTTGGATTGCAGCGATTTTGTTTTTTGCAACCTGCTAAGTATAAAATGCCGATAAGAGCTTTTATTTCAACTAAGTCGGTTAGATGTGCGTCTCTTTCTCTTCCGTAATTTGGTTGTACTTTTTTAATTTGTTCGTTTGTAAATTTTACTAACAATTCTAAAATATCATTTACTATAAATAAATTCCAACAATCCATAATGGATGTTGCTTTAGTGGCATCGCCTATTGGACCAGGAAGATGCGTTATTATGTCATGCTGCTTTGTTTTTCCTACTTGCGATGTTGGAAATTTATTCCAGTAGGTTTTAAAATCACGCCCTATATAAAACGTGCTCTCACCTTGTTGAGAAGTTGATTGTTCAATCTCTTCTTCTTCTTCAGTACTACTGTCTTCCTCTCTTGTTTCGCATATATCCGATTCATTTTCGGATGATGTGTCATCATATATATTCCTTTCTATATCTGTGTCTGACAGTAAAAATTGTGCATACTCCATATTGATGATAACGCTGCTCTAACCAAAGTACAAATAAAAACGAGATTCGCTGAACTTTGTACAAATACATCTGGTAATTAGACACATCTGTTTTCTTTTAAACAAAGGAAACCGCTGCTCTATATCTAGAGCGAGGGAGAAGTTATTGTCATAATTTACACTATGTCTCAAATTACTTAGCCAGGAGGGGAGTCGATTGTTATTGTAAAGCGATGTGTCAAAGTTTATCAATATATATTTCTGCTTCAAATAGTGAATATTTGACACTTTTTATATATTTTTTTCTACACTTTATGCAATAATACACTATAATAAGCGATCAGTTATTTTTTTTGCGATTACGCAACATCCGGAAGTAATAAGTTTCCCGGTTAATTTTTTAGCTGGAAGCTTTTGTTAAAAAATCTTCTTCTCTACGTAAAGTCAAATAACATGCAAACTAGTAAAAATACGCTCTAAAATATAGAATATAGCAATTTTTTAACGTTTGTTTACATTCTGACTTTGATCACGTGGATTGGTTCTTCGCGGGAAAATCCAGACCAGATGGCTCTGAAAACACTCTCATTCGTTGAAAGTTGATTCTGTCATAATATAAATTACCAATTAGAGCGTAATAGGCGTAGAAATAAAGATTTTAATGCCAATTAACAGCAAGAACATCTTCCATACACTTACTATAGGGAGGTGGAGTTTCCCGGGAATATTTATTGCTAGATAGTTTTAAAAATATATTTACATGCCTAAATATTGTCGAATTGCCTAATTTAATGTCAAAAACGTTAAATTAGTTGTTTAGAGCTAAAAAAACGATTTAAAAAGCGAATTTATTGTGATTGTTTACATTTTACTTCGAAGGTTGGAGGCGGGACTTTTCGCGGCAATTTTTCCTTTCACAAGTCTGTGATTAGTTACAGTAATGTCAACAAAGACAGAAGATACCCAATAAAACTTTAGAAGGAGTTTCCCTTTGATTGTGTTCTACCAACTGTTTGATTTACTGTAAATGGCAGAGGAGTCTAATTACCGAAATATTTATGGCCCAGGGGTGGTGACCAAACACGTATTGGCTTAAACAAAGTCAATCGACCTACAAAAGAGCGAATCGAAGCTGCGATCGCTGAAAAACTAGAATATAATACAGATGCGCACAATGGTCGCGATCAACAATAGAGATTCTCGCAATCGCGTTTTTCTGGGGAATTTTTTCCGCAGAAGGGTCGCAGGGCTTCTGTGAGACGCCGGCAGTTTTTTATATTTTTTTTCCCGAGAAAAGTTGGCGCGCAATAAGGAAATTATTTATTGCATTTTTTGCAGCTGAAAAAAATTGGAGAACTTGAATTTTTTGAAATTTTTTGAAAAATTTCGAAAAAAATGCCGCTGAAAAAACTGACGCAGGACGTCTGACAGACGTCCGGTGATCCCAGAAGGGTTTAATAGTACAATTTTGCTATATTACTTTCTTGCTATTTCCATCATATGTATAGTTATAGCAAGTATAATACAAAACCTCCCAGTACGGAGGACAGGGACATTGCATAATTAAATTATTATTAGGGAGGAATGGGACAGTGTCCCACTCCCTAATAACAATTTTCTTTTGTGTGTTAAATTTTATTTTGTGTGTTAAGTCTTTGTTTTTATTTTCAGGAAAAATGCAACATAAATGGAAGAAGAAAGATCCAACAAAATCAACACCAGTTAACAGTATGATTCTTCAAGCAGTGAACATGGTGTGTGACGAGGGAAAAAGTATAAGGAAAGTTGCAAAAGCCATGAATTTACCAAAATCAGCACTAGCAAAACATGTAAAAGAATTTAATAGCATTTCAGACAAGGAGTCTGTAGTATTCTAGTCTAACCTGATTTGTGGAATGGTTTTCTCTGTGGAGGAAAAAGCAAAGTTAAGAAATTACTTGCTTAGTACAAGTAAAATGCACTATGGCCTGACAACAGTGCAGGTAAGAAATTTGACATATGAGTTTGCTGCTATCTTGAATAAAACATCTTAGTGCTTGGAATCTCAATAAAACTGCAGGATGTGACTGGTTCAAGGGGTTTATGGGATATCATTGCACAGCTTTCATTGTAATCACTTGAATCCACTAGCTTAGAAAGAACTACTAGCTTCAATAAAAAGAATATTGATGACTTCTTGGACAAACTGAAATCTATTTATGAAAAATATATTAATTTATCTACATACAATGTCCAATAAATATTTGCAGTGATTGTTGGTTCATTATCTATGTTCTCAGTTAAATGTTGATTCACAGTATTCTGAATAAATTGTTTATTTATAATCATGTAGTAAAATTTTTTTAATATCTCAAATCAAGCATTTCAAGAAAATATTGTTGTAAAATACTATAAGATACTTTAAAGCAAAACCTTGTACTGATATTATGACTATCTCAGTAAAACTAACATTGTACAGACACACACATCAGTAATAACTATTTATATTTGCTAAATAAGTATTTTAATTCAAATTTTATGTGAATTTGTTATCCTTTTATGAACTGACCCATTCTCTCATTTACTGTCCCACTCCTGCCTTTTATTTGGGAGTGGGATACTTGTTATAGCATACAAAACTTATAATTTTTCTACCAAATGTTAGCATTGAAACTTCCAATACTTTTCAGAAGATACAGATGGTTCAAACTAACAAGCTAAAAAAGAAATATTCAAGAGTTTTTTTCTTTGCTTATGTTTTTGACATATTTTTCCCAAAAGTGTCCCATTCCTCCCACATATGTTGCAATAAATAATACAGCCAACTTGCACTAATACGAATTGCTAAGGAAACAGCAGTTAGTTCGCTTTATTGAAAATTTGTATTAACAATTTTCAGGGTCAAGGTTGTATAATTTAGGAAGTTAAGGTTCAACAAGCAATCAAAATCTCTAAATTATATTTTGAATTTTTACTGAATAAGGGCAAATAAAATAAAATTTATTTAAAAAACAAATTAATCTTCTAAATGCTTTTCCAATCAAATAAAATGAGGAGGAGACTGTGTTCGATGTTTAAGTATGGAGCTGTATATCAGAGTGGTTAAACAAAAAGCCAAAAAATAATGATGATATTTTTCTGTTGAGGATCATTTGAAAAAGTAGAAAATACACATATATTTTTTCCAATTGGAAATGCCATCTTTAGTTATTCATCTGTCACTTTCAAACTGCAGATAGCAGAATATGGTGTCTACTGCATCTGTTGCATCCTTGAAAGAAGGATTAAATGGCTAAACATTACTGTTAATCTCACCTTCATTTATGAAGTCATCTATTTCATTGAGCAATATCCTGACACTATTCAGCAGAGTATAATTTTTAGTACCAAGAGAACAAAGGAAAAGCTAAATTTGGCATTACTATATGAACTCCTCAATACGCAAACTAGTTTATATGAAACCATAGACCACATTTATTTAAAGTGATGGGCATCCTTAAACTTTAACCCCTATTTTCTGAGTGAGGTAGCATGGTCCACTAAAACCAGATGTTTGAATTGCTTTACAATTGGAGGTGTTTGGTTACTAGGAGAAGAAAACCTATTCTACTCAAAATAGAACATTTATTAAAGTACCACTTTTTAATGTTCACTTCGAAATGTATGAAAAACAACCATTATTGGAAGTAGGGTTATTTTCTTGGAAGTTGTGAAATTTTACCAGTTTGGTTTAATGAGTTCTGATAAAATTTTTGTTTGCTTTATTGGGTGATAATTAATGTTGTGACAATGAAGTTTTGCCAGGGCAACTTCAAAGTTTGTTTCATTGCAAGAATTTTTTATTGGTTTTTTTTAACAGATGAGTTGACTGAATATGTAAATAATTTTCATTTATTTATTATGGCATCTGCCTAGATATAATAATAATAGCATGAATAGAAAGTATGAAATTCTAATTTGTTGATATTTGATACACATCAATGCTATATCACTAATCTTGTCACAAAGTATGGGAAGTGAAACCATGCATTAGACATACACATGGCAAATTATTCAAACAAAAATGAGAAGATATGTCCAAAATACAAATGTACATTTCCTATTCTGTCCCTATTTCCCACAATTTTCTACTTATTTACATGATTAGTGATGCAATATTGATGGGAATCAAATATCAACAAATTAGTCTTTCATGCTTTCTATTCAGACCAATAAATGAGATAAAAAAAACCCTGTTCTAATGACTAAAGTTACTAAAATGTAAAAAAATATAAAAAAGGGTTATAAAAGATTTATATATATGGTATCATTTTTTAACTTATTAATAACTTTTAATCCAAAATGACTTTGGCTGTCAGTTATAACTGTACTTTCATTTAACCAAGATAGTAATAGCCTACATTATCTCAGATAATCAGGTTTCTACTATATTTAGAAAAATATTTAAATTCATAAACTGTTAATAAAAATTTATCATACCTGGTTTACAAAATCGATCTATTGCTGCTTGTCTGAGATTTCCACGAACTCGGCCATCAATTCTCTCATAAGGATATCTTATTTCATTAGAGAAAAAAACACAAAAAATTAGTTATTGAAATTACTTTAACAATTAATACAGATATATACAATGTCATATAATATTCAGATGGAGGAAGTTAAGATGTAAAAAGTACAAACATTTTTGTAATTAAATGGTGCCAAATCTTTCAAATGTCACTGTAAAATGAAATAATATCCTATTTTAAAATGCAACAAAAATTAAAAAGGCTCTGTGCTACTTTGTAATTTTAAGTCCTGTACACCAAATGTATTTACTTATATGATATAAATAATTACATTGTACTGTTTACCATTTGTTATTTTTCTTTTGTTTTTGTTGAAATAATTTCACTATTGACATCCAACTTCTAAAATTAGCATTTTCCAACCTTTTTTGACTTACATACCCCATGGCAGCCCATTTTCCTAAGTTTTATTTTTCATTTCTTATTTTTGCAAAGTTTTATTGTGTGCGTTCCTCAATCAGTGCTGTTCCTTGGTCAATTATATTTTATACAGTGCTGTACAATTACATGTAAAAAAGTTAAAAAAAAAAAATCTAAAAGCATTGAAAAAAGACACAGATAAATATAATTATATTTTTTTGTGCACCCTAAACCATTAAGCATGTACCCGATTGGAAATCGCTGCTATATATCTATAGATGATTATTAGTAGTGTTAGTATCTGTTTTAATAATTAATTTGGTATAAACATTAATTTATGATCTTTGACTCAAATAATTATAAATCAATTTAAAATGTTTAAATCATTAATCTAAATTTAATCAGAGAAAAATTTCTCAATTTTCTTGCCCAAATTTTATTCTCTTAGTATTTGGTAAAAGTAAAGTAAATTCAAAAACAAAAAATTTTTCAATTTTTAAACAAGCAATATTAAAAATTAACACCTGAAAAAGTAAAAATATTCTATTATCAGAATATGAAATTTTTTCAATACATACGATACAAGTTTTATACGACACAATACAAGTTTTATATATCAAAGTAAATTTTGATATTAAAAGAAATACAGTAATTCCAACATTTTAAAATCAGATAGAAATAAGGAAAAAAAAAAAATTCAAATATTTACTAACCTTCTATGTACTAAGTAATCTTCCAATATATCCAAACATCGAACCATTTGTGAAAATACGAGTACACGATGTCCACTGGCTCGAAGTCGTGGCAACAATTTATCAATTAAAACTAATTTACCAGAGGCCTGAATCATAGCATTTAAGGCAAGTTCTGCACAATCTTCATGCTGGGATTTATAATCATGCATTATTTGTTCCTCTGCTCCTAAAAATAAAATATTTATAGCATTAATATAAAATATAAACATCTTTACAGAAATATCTAATAAAAATTATTTCAGATTTTTATAGATTCCTTATGTTGTCGTTTAAATTACTTAAGATGCAAAATGTGTAACTCTTAGAAATAAGAGTTACACATTTTGCATCAAAACATGTCAGCTAATAGATATGCTTATCAAATGAATTATCATTTCTTAACTGTTTTTATACTTCTGAACAAAGAGTTGGTCTATTCATAATTAATCTCTTCTATAGTTTTATATTTTGAATTTTGTCTTCAATAACCCAAAAAATTAGGTCAAAGATTAATTAATCATTGTTGGATTTTATATTGTTCAATTAAATGCACATACTTTCCTATTTTTTATTTTGCATTTCTATTTAAATTTTTGAATTCCAAAAAGATCTTTAATACCTTTTATACAAACACACAATGCATATACATATTTATATGATATTCATATAAATGGATTTTGATACTGGTGATTTGCTTAAGATTTTATTTTAATAAAAATAAAATAGAATCTCCTTATTATAATCACTTTGGGTTACACTATACTGATAACATTGAGCAAGGTAAAAGTAAGATTACAATTAGTCAACAAAATTAGAATTTTCACTGACATTAAAAGAACATGCCTAAGATTTATTAATTATTATATAATACTACTTAGTTAATAAAAAGGCATAGCTGCAGAAAAAATGTTAATACAGTTATGTACTGTTAATGTATGTATTTGAATTTAAGAATTTCTAGTTATGAGATATTGATATTGCTTAGTATGGCTGCTATTTATAATTTGATACATGTGCTGTTATTTATACTTCAAGACTTTTACTTAGTGTATGTGGTATAATAGCCACAATAAGTACTCTATCCATATTCTACACACACTTTATTTTATAGGAAATTTCTGCAAGTTTTCTAATTTTTTCAGTGTATACACTGTATTTTGTATGTTGTGGTTATTTGAAACAACTATGTCTATGATATATGCTATTTGTTTTGTTTATCAATGAATATGATGGATTGTTTTGTGTGCAAATATGGCACAGTCAAAAGTACATTATGTGTGTGTTATTTTCTACAATCTGATAGGTGTGTTTATAGTATGGTTCTCAGATGTTTAATAGTTTGCATTTGTTTGCAAACTATTTTGTAATGTTGATATAAGTACTCTTTATATGCTAAAAATTTGCAACCTGGGTGATATCTCATATATACAGTTTTGTAGATGTGTACATGTGGCATTCCTAGAAGTACTGTTTGTAGTCACTTGTATTTATGACATGATCTTGGAAGGATTTGTGATTGTTATACATCTCTTTAATTAAAGAGGAATCTATGCAGTTCTGTTAAATGGATCCTGGCTGAGAGCATTATGGTCTTAACTGTGAAGCATCTTCTGAACCCAAGACCAACTGATAGTGTCTGTATTTGTATACTATGTTGCATCAGGTCAGTGTAGTATAAGAGTAATGGTGTACAATATTTGACTGTAAGAGTTACCACTTTACATAATTTTGATGATTGTTTTTTGTTGAAAAATTTCATACTGTATTTATTTCTAATGAAGATTTAGTGTATCTGTGAATCTTGTAATCAGTCTTTACAAGAAAAAGTCTGCCTTTCTACAGAAGACTTAAAATGGTGTTTGCAATGTTTTGTTTATATTGTTTGTTTTCCTTTGGAACTGTTCTAGTTTTGTGTGTACAATGTATAACTTCAAATGACAGTACTGAGACAACATAAAGATGTGTTGACAACTTTACATGTGTGTTTTGCATTTAGCAGTGTGTTCCATGAGTTTGGCCTGTTAGAATCCTAAATATTTGTAGACATAATACATATAATAATAAAAACATCTTACCATTTATTAAATAAGGATGAATGCAGCATTTTCTAAGTTCCATCATAGTATTCATAAGATTAGGTATATTAGAACCACATCCACCTTTACTAAGAAATGTGAAATTTCTTTCTAGTATTGCTCGATAATATTTTTTCTGGATATTTGTTAATTCAACCTAAAAATAAAAATTAACAAAACATGTAAAACTGAAACTCATTAGTAGACCAATCAGAGAAACAAGATATCACCCAATTTAAAAAAATAAATGAATAGAGACTACAGTTGTCCATTATGTGTATTTATAATTTATAAGAAAACTAAAAATTTACATATTAGAAGTAAAATTTCACATAAACAAAAAACAAGCTGAATAAAAACAAATTTGTATAATATTTACTATCAAACAAAAATATCAACTAAATTCAAATCATACTGCAACTGTCACAATGCACTTTAATAAATTATCAATAGATATTTCTAGCAATGTAACTGATGAACTAACTAAAATTTTTATTTACTAAAAATATCAATCATTCAAAGCATACATTTTACTGCAAATTTGTCATTGTACACTTCTTATAATAAAATATATAATAATAAGAATGTTACTTCACTTTTATCACAACACTCGCAAAACATTTAGCACTTACAATTTGATAAAATAAATTAAATGAAAAATGGCAATGCAGTTCTTTAATAAAATTTCAGCAATTCAAAATTAAAAGATAATATTGTTAATGATAAAAATTTACCTCTACTATAGTTTCCTCTTTAGGAGCTAAACTTTTCTCAACATCTTCTTTCAACCGACGAAGCATCATAGGTTTTAATAACTAATAAAGAAATATATGACTATGAAATATAAAAAATCTAAAATAATAAAAAATTTAATTTTCTGGAGAAATATTTGATATATGATTAATACTGAAAATGAACACACACAAATAATATAATGTAGTTACTTAGTCAATATTTTAAATAAATATACAAATATAAATAACACTGAAAGACAAACAGAGAAAAGTTTTAGACTCACAGCTTTGAGTTTTTCTACTTGTCCTTCGGTTTTTAATTCACCAAATTCTTCCAAAAAGGCTTCTGTAGATACAAATCTATTAGGTTCAAGAAAATTTAACAAGCTGAACAGTTCTTCAACATTATTTTGTAATGGTGTTCCAGTTAAGAGTACACGATGTTCCTAAAAAATCATTATTTTATTATAATTATAAGTAATAATACAATAATATAATGATTGTGTTAGTGGCATTTATCAGTATTCTTTTGAAATAATTTAAATTTTTGTAGTTAATCCAGTTAGTGTTCCTACTGCATTCCAAAACTTAAAAAGTAGAACTTTCTAAGGAAAATCAGGATAAGTATGACAAATTAAATATAACAAAAATCATCGTTTAGAGAAAGAACGTTGATAAAATATCAGGACAAAAGCAGTCAACAATATATTTATATGATAAAATATCTTCTCATTAACAAGGAAAGAAAAGATAAGAGTTGATTTATTATATACTTCAATTTTACTTATTTTTTTAATATGAAACTTTCCTACCAAATAGACTGTTGTTCACTAGTTACTAGAATAATAATCCTGGATAGGTTAAAACCTTCTTTTTTCATAAACATTTACAATTACTGAATATGTAATAATTAAAAAAAAAAAAATACAAACTATCATGAAAAATGTTAATTGCAATATCAATTTAAAAGCTTTATAACATATTACAGTGAAAAGCAAGCAATCAATTTTTAAAGCTATATAAAGCATCATATCTTTAAATAATTGTATAATCCAACACTGTTTTGTTTTTTCTATTTGTTTTTGTTCTGTGCTTTTTTTAAAATTTGAAATTGATAAAAATGATGATTAATGTATTACTGCTTTTTTTATTTATCCCACATCCTTTCTGAAACCTAAAAATAAATTTTGTTTAACCTGCCCTACGTTGACCCTGAATATTTCCGTGTTTACATTGCAACGTTTTTGATACTAGATGTTGCTTTGCATCACAATTTTTATATTAAAATGAACTTTTAAAATGAAAATTTTTTCATTTTTATATTATTCAATATATATATTTTGTTTGTGAAACATAAAAAAATAATTTTTTATGATACAGTAAACACGATTATTATTAAAAAAAAAATTAGTCTTAACATTGACAAAAATTCAACATGGCATCACAGGCAACAAATAAAAATTTCAACATTGAATAGGTTAAGTATGCTAATATTGTCAGTTCAAATGTTTTAGATTGATTTCTCAATATGCAGGATACTACCAATCCCCAAATTTTATACAATTTATTTAAAAAGAAAAATTAGTATTGGTTCAAGTTGAAAACATTGTTTGAAATTACTGTATAGAAAAATAACTGTAAATTTCCTCAAAGAAGCAAAGCTGTGTTTTTTGAAAATGAAAAACTAACTACAACTTACTCTGTTTAAGTACATTGAGGGTTGGTAGCTTTTTGCATAACTAGGTGCAATGTTCTTGTATCATCACTTGGTGACAAAAAGTAGAACAATTACTTAAAAAGCAGGATACTTTTAATCTTTTTTAATATGAAAATAGTATATAGTCTATGTTTATCTGGAAGGAATAAGCTTTCCAATAGTGAAAGAATTTTAAAAATTGGTTCAGTAGATTCCAGAATTACTTCCAGCAAACAAACAATTATGAAAGTAGGAAAAGTAAGATATGAAATCTGTCAGCTACATTGTCTTTGTTTTTTTATTAACAATTAAATATATCTAAAAGTTAAAACATTACAAATCTTTTCCAATTAATGTGTAACTTAACAGAAAAACTATTTATGCTGTATACAATAATAATAAATTAAATAATGCACAAGTATGATTTATCCATGCTTTCAAACCAATTTAAAATGATATGTTATATTGTCTATATAATAAATATTCAATAAAAATAAATCTTCTAATACGACATATTCACTATAATGTTCAAACTTTTTCAGAATTAATATAAGAAAAAGATCCATATAAAATTATTTTCATAGTTTAGCAGAGTATATTCTGTACTTCACAGAATACATTCAGCTATACTATATTTATTTTAACAGATGTTAAACTGAAATGACAATAAATCATTTTAAATTAATAAATAATAATAGCATTTATAAGTAAAAATAACTGAAATAAAAAAATTTCATTAAAAATGCTCAATAATAAAATATATTAATAATTTTATTTACCGTATTTAATAATCTTAAGCCTTCTAACAGTTTACAATTTCTATTCTTCAAGCGATGTGCTTCATCAATAATAACACAACGCCAAGGTATCTCTCTCAACTCTAAACAGTCACTAAGTACAATTTCAAATGTTGTTATCATTACTTGAAACTTATATACTTCCAATATTCTCTCCCCCTACAAAACAAAAATTTGACTTAAAAAACTTTTAACTCACTAATTTTACACTTTATTTTAAAATTTTTTTAACATTTCAGTAATATATTCTATGAAGTTTAACATTTTACCACTTTCAATTCAAGATATTTCAAATTGTTATACACTGAGTGGCCAAAAAAGTAGACACACCCTCTAATAACGAGTTGGTCCACCTTTAGCTCTGATCACAGCCGATATTCTTCTTAGTATGGACTCAAGTTGCTGATATCATTGCTGAGGAATGTTGGCCCATGCTAACATAATGGCAGCTCTAAGTTAGATCAGATTGGATGGTGGCGTTTCCAAGCTTTGAAGTGATCTTTTGACTTCGTCCCACAAATGCTCCATAGAATTGAGGTCGGGACCGAGCTGGCCATGAAAGCAGGTTAAACTATGATTGATGTTCCTCAAACGAATTTGAGACCAATTGAGCATGGTGACAAGGTGCATTGCCCTGCTGAAAGTGACCATCTCCATCGGAACATTACAGCCATAAACAAGTGTACGTGATTGGCAATGATGCTGAGGTAAGCTGTTCTATTCAGAGATGTGTCCATAAATATCAAGGGACCTAATGTACTCCAGGAAAACATTCCCCATACCATAATTCCACCGCAACCAGCCTGAAGAATTGTCATTTGGCAGGAGGGGGTCCATGAATTTGTGCTGTTTGTGCCATATTCTGATCCTGCAATCTGCATGATGAAGCAGAAAATGAGACTCATTGGACCAAGCTATTTTTCCGGTCCTAAAGTGTCCAATTTTGTCATTCCTGGGCCAACAACAGGTGCCTTTTCCTATTTTTCTGTGATACCAAAGACACTCTTGATGGTCTCCTGCTGCTAAAGCCCATTCTTTGTAGTGTGTTTTGTTGTGCATTGGATATGCTTTGTGATGCACCTGCATTGAATTCAACTGTAATTTGTTGTGTTGTTGCCCTTCTGTTGCTGCAGACTATGCATGCTAATTGTCTTTCATCTCTTGTTCACCAGTCTTTTTCAACTGGAATTGTCCTTATCGCTTTAAGTTTTTTTCTCAACTGCCACTATCTGAACACTTGAGATACTGTTGGACAAGAAAATCCTAAAAGAATCATTGTTTCAGAGATACTGAAACCAGCTCTTCTTGCATCGATGATCATCCCTCATTCAAAGTCACTTAAATCTTTTGTCTTATCCATTTTGATATTAACTTCTATGATAACTATGTCGTCTGAAGCTGAGCATACCTTATATAAGCAACTCTGCATTGTTACATCACTACATCACTGTTGGACTGATTTACTTTCAAATAAGAGGTGTCTCTAATTTTTTGGCCACTCAGTATATATATATATATATAGCACTGAAATCAACAGAAATAGCTCATTCTAGTTTTCTATAAACATAGCATAATAAACTTCCTTCATAAATAGCAGTTTACAATTCTTCCAATAGACAAAAATGCAAAATAAGATGAATCATTATCAGCTGTTTTACAATACAACTTTTTATTAGTATTTGCTATACTGATATTTTAATCATTAAATTAAATATAAATTGTAGAAAATTCCAGAAATAACGTTCAAAATTTTCTTTTGAACTTGCAGAAATATTAAAGTAATAACACTTAATATTTAGAGAAAATATTTCAAAGATACATATTATACAGTAATACCTCGACTTACACAAACCCGGAGTTACGCAATTTTCAAATCTCGTCGATTCATCTTTTGTTTCAGTGCCACGCAACTCTTGGTTACTTACTCCCCCCACACTATTGTTCAGCTTACATGTTTGGAAGTATCACGCATACAATTTATTTTGTGTTATTTATTTCTGTGTTTGTTATATCTACGAAGACTTGAGAGACTATGTGGTGATTTCTTGTAACCATGAATGAATCAAAAGAAGAGATAAGATTAATAAGAACATTTATTAGCTTACATACATCCAACTTGGATTTTACACAAATTGCGAAATTACACCCTGACTTACATGGTTATAGCTCGGTCCCACCTATCACGTAAGTTCGGGGTATTACTGTATATGCTTATTTATAATCAAACCTGAAACTCTATTGTATTAATATATAGAAATGCAAGATATAATTAATAAGTTACAAAGTTTAAAATAACATTACCTTTTCATTTTTATAATACATTTCATATTCTTGAATCATATTACGACTTGCAGAGCTGAAATAATACATTATATACTTAATTTCAACATTTCAACAAAATTATTTTTTATTATATTTTACAATAAATTTAATTTTAATAACATCATTAAATTTCAACAATGTATTCAGCATGAAAAATATAATTTAATTCACATTATACAGTGCACTCTTTATTTGTTCTATAAAATATTCCAACCAAAAAAAAATTATAGATAAATTTTAAAAATATTTATTAAATTAATATGTCTACAAACTTTAAAAACAAAATTATGCACTGAATATAAAATAAAAAATTTCAAAAATATATATTTATTTTCTAACTTCTTTTTCTTTACACATTATTACACTGTTAATATAAACTTTTCACGAATCCAAACAACCCCATATAATAATTAGCCTGAATTATCAAGAGTGCACTACTGTCACAATTTCTTGTGGAAGTTCTTGAGAATGGATGCTTCTCTCCATTAAATGTTACTTTTTCCAACAGGATAATGCACCCATGCATGTATCTCATGCAACATACATGCCAGTGGTCTACAAAGAATGGTGCTATCCTTCTGAAATAGCCAGAAGTCGGATTCAATTCACTGAAAATCTATGGAGTTATCTAGTCTGCAATGTATACAAGAATGACATTCAGTATCAAAACAATGATGATCTGTGGCAAATAATACAAAGTAAAAATGGCATGGGAATCCATATCAAAAGATCTTTTATTGAGCTTGACAGATTCAATGCCAAAGTGAACCTTTGATGTTATCCTAAACAAAGGTAGTTTTACTTCTTATTAAAATATTTCTGAGAAAAAAGTGTTTGTATTGCTTTTCTTTATTTTACCAACTGTACTGAATTTATATTTTTTGACTGTAAAGGTAAATGGAATTACTTGTGCTAATTATGTCTTATGGTTAACAAAAAAAGTGCATTAATAAAAATGTTTATTTTTAAGTTGTATTCAAAATACACATGCTGTTATAAAATAACATTTTGGATTCTAAAACTATATTTTGCATTCAGTTTATAATTTTGATTGCACTGTAGATATGAAATTATTTAATCTACAACATATTAAATAACAAAACATTAGCATAAAAAGATATTCTAATGCAATACTTAAAATTTTAAAATATGGATATCTGTAAAATATAAAAATGTACTAACCTTCCATGATATGTAATTGCATTTAAATCAGTCCAGGTCTCAAACTCTCTCTGCCAGTTCCCAATGGTAGAAAGTGGTGCTATTACTAGAAATGGACTAGTAATTCCATAATCTGATACTTCATTCAAGAATGCAATAGACTGGATTGTTTTTCCCAAACCCATTTCATCAGCTAATATACAATTTTGCCTGAAATAATAATAATAAAATTTGTTATTTCTTTTTATTGATATTGCAGTTAAAAATTTGTTAATTAAAATTTTATATGATTCAGATGTTTCAGATTACATCCATTATAAACTTAAAATTGTATTTTAAGTAAATTTTTTGCATTTAAATTTTTAATTTAACCATTGCAAAGTGAGCTTTACAGTGTACCACTTTCAAAGTAGTTCAATTCAATGTAGTCTATACTCTGCATATTTTGAAGATGTAGCCATTTTAAAACTTTCAATAAAATTTGATTTAACATAATTTTTGTTTCATTTATGAACTCCTAGGAAGGCATTACTGCATGAATTGTTTTGATCATCTAAAATTATTTAGTACTTCAGTGATAATTTCAACCAAGTCAGTAATATATATAAATTACATTGTAAAACTTTAAAAAAAATAAAATAAAAATTACCTAAATTTTATTTATTATTTATACATATCATTATATATTTCTTGCAATCTTAATCTCAATACAATCTAAATTTCTATTACTAATGGGAAATTATTGCTTTATTTTAAAAAGTCATAATACTGATTTATTAATGCTTGAGTGTAATTGATTGTTTTAGTTATTAATAATCAATATAATAAATTTTTATTTATTATATTGATTATTAATAACTAAAAATGAATTATCATCTGATTAAGTATTATTGATACCAGTTTAACATTAACTGAAAGTTTTAACACTTGTTCATAAAAATTCAAATCTGACAATTAAGGTGATTTTTTTTTATCCTCTTTTTGTTAGTAATAATAATTATCTTCATTGTTCAGACTTCAAATATTAAAATAATATTTTATTTTGACTGATCTGGATAAAACAACGAGTTTTAATATCTAAACAACTTAAATTATTAATAGAGTCAACAAACTATACTTAATTGTTTAACTTGTGACCTAGAAACCTATCACATCTATTGACTTTTCTAGATATAAATTAAGTTGCCTACAAAATAAATAAAACAATTTTAAATCTATTGTTATCTAAACCCTTTTTTGATGCAATAAATTATTTTTTCAGCTACTTTTATTAGGCATTTTAAGTACAGTACAGAACATTAACATATAGAATTCCTTTGGAATCAATTGATCTATTATTACATAGTACTATTACATTAATACAGTTATAATAAAATAAACTAATAAACACAAACAAACATATTGAAAATATCTATAATAATAATAATAATAATAATAAAGACGTTATTGAATCCATGGAAGAAGACGTTATTGAATCCATGGAAGAGGGCGAGTTCTACAAGTACTTAGGATTCCAACAGGCCAAACTAACAGAACATACACAAATAAAGCAACGATTAATTAAAGAATACCAAAGTAGGTTAAACGCTATACTTAGAACACAGTTAAATGCAAAACACACAGTTAAAGCAATAAACACATATGTCATCCCAGTACTCACATACTCTTTTGGAGTTATACATTGGACTCACACAGATCTCGAGCAACTCCAAA